CTTGCATTTGAGCAGAATTGATGCGCACAAATGTAAGTGTAAAAAAAAGGCAGTCAGATCGAATCCTTAATTTGTGGAGTTCTTTGTCTGCAGCTGCTCCACAGTAAAAGCTTTACAGCAGGTGCAGATGATTATGAAATGCACCTCTTTTGATTTTTCACTCAACTTCCCTTCAATCAAACCAGAGGGTGAACAAATTTGAACCTGAAGCATGCATGCAGAATCAAAAATGTGTCTCTATGTTCGCACTCAGCGCTACATAGTCATGGATTATTGGTCTCCGTGTAATCTATAAACATAGACACCTTCACAGACATGGAGTCACATGTCCACCTTCCCTAATCCAGTGCACAGAAAGCTGCAGGATGGGTGCATGCATGTGTGTATTACTGTTTTCTTGCAGTATCACACTTTTTATGTTAAATTTTAAGCTTCTTATTGCCAATTTCTGCCATGTGTGGCTGCACATGAGAGAGGGCAGTATATGTGTCTGCATCTACTCTGCTGTGTCTATGTAAATATACATACCAGAAAATGAGATTCTGTGGTTTTCTCATAGTCTGTGTCAAAGAACATCAGTAAATATAACACAGGGTGTGTGGATGGTCAGTTTGTATCATCACCCCTATGGTGGGATAATTTCTCAAAGCCACATCCAGCCAGGTCCGCTCTGCAATTAACCTGCAGCACCTCAATCCCCGACCCGTCCTCAAACTGCTTTCCACCACTTCAGCATCCGCCGAGGGAAACCGAGAGGCGTTCCTGCAATTTCTGACCTGTGCATCCTTTTTTTTCGGCGTTCTCTAAAGCGCTCAGCTGTGAGTGCGCGCCGCACGGGTGAAAGCAGCAGAGGGAAATTTCAGTCCGCACAAATAAAGTGTGTTATATTACGCAGACACGAGGACCAGGTTGAAATCAGCCGGCGCGGTGGATGAGATGAAGTTTGCACATAGTTGAAGGATGGGAAAGGAGGGAAAAAAAAGAAAAAGAGGAGAAATAAGCAGCTGGTGCCAAACGCCCACCAGGTCAACACAACAAACACGGAGACAGACAGACTGAGGAAACACACACACACACACACACACACATGAATACTGTGCATCAACCTTTGACATTTGCTCCATCTATTACCTGACAAAGCTAATAATCCCTGAATCCTGCCGTGACATTCACAGTTTATCTGTCCACCTAACACCCAGATTAACCTGCCATTCATTTTAATAAGAGCCGGCGGCTGTTTTGTGCTTCTTTGGAGGAATAAACCAACAGAGGAAAACTGCAGGATGGGAAAGAAAAGCTACCTTAGATGTATTTGGAAAGACCATGAAAAGAAAAGAAAAAGAGAAGTATAGCCGCTCTAATGACCCTGAGTGTGTGTGTGTGTTTCAGGTGGATAATGATTCCCTTGAGACCAATTTCCAATCTGAGGTGCACTTCACATTTCTAAGAGAGTAAAGTGCCCTTATGATCCGTCACCCTCCACCACAATCACACTCTCAGTTTAATCAGGGCAGACAATAAAGGTGAAGAACGCAAATTGGTGTTCAAATTCTCTGATACGCTTCTGGACTTTACTGCTTTATGTTTTTTTTTGTGTGTGTGTGTTTTCAGGAAAATGAAATAGGAGGGGAGGAGAAGGTCCCATGAGACTGTTTCTGCTTGATATGAGACTGATAGAGGGAGATGCAGAAGGAGAGAGATGGACAGAGGTGAGATTGATGTATGTGGTTGAAGCAGACAGGTCCAAAAGGTTTGCAGCAGCGATCCAGAGGAAACTACGACATAATGGAGCTCAGGGACTTCCAGAAAAGACTGTATTAGTGACTGTTACGTTTCTGAAAGTGGCATGACGTGAAGGACAGGGGTCACGGACAGGGAAAGTAACAAAAAGGACAATCTGCACCTTCAAACAAAACAAAAAATGATGCCTTTGGGTTCTAAGAGATGGAGTGGAGTTATGTTTCCCCACAGCCACCCACTAATTTTGCCCAAAATTAGGCAAACCAAAGTAAAGTTCCTTACACACCGGGGCTGATGCAAATAAAGAACGCGCCTGACTATACACATCAAGCGCGATGCGATTTTGCGACTTTCTGGGGGGAAAAAGACGCATCCTGGGAAGACTTTTCCCGGGGAAAGTCCTGCCTCCGTCGCCTCTGCTTTGCTAGAAAAGCTGGAAATGTCATCACACGCTCAAGCCAAACGGTCAGCACTTATAGCCAATCAGAGGCGATAAGATAAGCACATGAAACTATGGTAACAACCGTTAGCTCACGTTGAAAGATGAAAGTTAAAACAAAGACGTTTAGCACACAAATCATCGTCATATGAGAGATCCGACAAGTTGTCCTTCAGGTCGGTGTCTTTGTAAAGTTTGTGTCTTTTATCAGAAAACACTCTGTTCTCCGACACGCAAACAATCAGCCGGTCGGCCATGTTGGAAATACCGGTGAATCTGACGTCGCAACAACACGCAACCTGACTGGTCAGAAGTGAACACACAGTATGTGAAACTTTAGAAAAATCAACCGTGAAACGTTGATGATGTGAACGCCTGTATTGACAGGATACGGGTTCGCAAAAAATATTGACGTCCGAAATAATTGCACGATAAAAACGGTCCAGGTGTGAAAGGACCTTAAGATGTGATTTAAAAGTAGAAAGAGTGGGGGATGTTTTCATCTCGAGTGGCAATCTGTTCCACAATTTGGGAGCCACAGTCGAGAAATCTCGGTCGCCACGGGTTTTCAAACGAGTTTTTGGGACAATGAGTTGGAGCTGGAAGAAACGTGGGGGGGTATAAACATTTAAGAGGTCAGAGATGGACTGCGGTGCTGATCCATTTAAAGATTTGAAAACAAACAAAATTTTAAAATAACTCCTGAAACAAACCTGAACCTGATGACCTACAAGAGAAATCACAGAGGTATAATTTTCCATCATGAACTCTTTCTCCTCATGATGACTTAGGAGATGAGTCACTCAGGTGAATGAGTTTAAGAAGTTTTAAAAAGAGAAGAAACAAACAGATTCTTCATCTGCTTTTTCATACTTTTGATTAATTAATGAAGCTCTTGTGCGTCTTTTCGGTGACGCCGCCTCTCTTTTAAACTCCGAACACGTTTTCAGCTTCACAGCTGCAGGAGGTATGATGTGAACACTAACAGAAACAGTTACAAGACATATTAACATTCAGCGTTTGACTTTATCCTCTCTTACAGATCAACATCAGCTCCCAGGCAGCCAATTTGTGTGACAAATGACCCATCGCTTAAACCCATTAATCTCCAGCTTAATATCACTGGCAGGTGTGCTGTCAGCGGAGAGTCTGCAGGGATATGATTTCTGTTGCTCCTCATTATTTTCACTATGATACGTTCTCCCGGAGGCTTTTAACAAAAGAGGAAATGTGTGCTTTAAAATAATCAGGGTGGGCTAAAGAGGGTTTGATCCGTCTGTTTTTTTTTTTTTTTATGTAGGTGGGTGGGACAAACACGTGTGGTGTGTGTGACGGGGACGTTTAAAAAGCTGTTATAGAGGTATGATTTATGGCACTCAACCTCCTCATTACCTGGCTGTGGCTGTCAGCTGTCACAGCAAACACACACACGTAGAATAATCATGTGGTCGTATAGCCACAGGGGACACTGTACAGTATGGCTGGGCTTCCTACAAAACCTGCCGTAATAGCCGGGTGTGTGGGTGATTGGCAGTTGTTTGTGTGTGAAAAGGGTGTCAGTTATGAGGTGCAGATACACATGATGTGTCCTCAAGCATGCAGGCAGTAAGTCAATCAGTCAGTCAGTGTTCAGCTTCAAAACAAGGTCAGGAAACACAAATTAATTAAAAAGCAGAAATGTCTCTTATAATACAGCGTGGTGTCAGTGAAGAAGATTACAACTTAAAGTGTCAGTGTTTGTCTTAATCAGGAAATTACACCTGTTCATGTGAGCTAGACAGGGGCGGCCCAAGGCATAAGTGAACTAAGGCTGCGTTCACACTGCGTTATGATGCACAATTCAGATTCCTTGTTAAATCCGATCTTTTTGTGTGGTTGTTCGCATTACAAAAACGAATGCGGCATCTAATGTGAACAGAATGCGTCCGTGAAGTGACCCACAAGCGCACAAAGCACAAATTGCTTTCGGCGCCTGTTTGTGTTGTCGAGCCATGTGACGTTTGTCACATACTGATGACGTATAGGTCGGATGAATGCGACCTGAGCGTCCACACTGTAGTCACATCGGAATCATATCCGGTTTATATCCACATACAAAAGAGGCCTGGGTCGGATTTGAAAAAATCAGATTTGCACTGCTCACACTTACATGAAAAAAATCAGATATGTGTCACATATGGTTAAAAAATCGGAATTGACCTGCAGTGTGAACACAGACTAAGTGCCTGCTTAGGGCCCCGTGGCCAATAGGGGGCCTCCAAGAGCAATCAAATGATGCTTTCTGTATGATCAAATATATATTATTGTAAAAATAAAAGAAAATAAAGTAAAAACATTTTAATGCTGCCGCTGATGTCAAAGCTCCGCTATCATTATGTGCCTCCTGCTGTGCAACGTGCACTGAGCATCCAAAGGGAAGGTAGTTGTGGGGCAAAAAAAGGACATATCCTTCAGGAGCAGAGAAAAGAAAGAGGAAGAAGAGAAAAAACCTTGAAGCCGTGAGACGCTCACTTCTCAAGCTACGAGGTTTTGTCCGGGAGGAGGTAGCTGTTTCACCTCCATCCACCGCTATTCAAAAAGAACACAAATGCTCCACATCTGACTGTTGCTCATTTTCTCCAAACAACTCGCGCTTCCATCTACACCGTAAAGCGCAGCTACTTGTCCTTCTGATATGACTTAGCTGTATTCGAGCAGTCGCTCATGGTCCAGAGTTTTTTCCGAGACCACATGTAGTTTGTCAGCAACAAGCCTTTTGTGAGATATCAAGATTCCTATTAAAAGTGAATGGAGCTGCTGAGAACACGGGGTGGTCTCCATATTTGGAGCTTGATTGCGATGTTGTTTGGGACAGTCAAGAAACAAGACACAGAGTTTTATTTATATTCTCTTTAATATATTTTAAAAAATGAATATACAATCTGAGAAAGAAAAAGTCGAGGATTCGAAGAACAGGCTGTTAATCTTCTCCTCTGGCCCAAAGATGGAGTTAGCCCAAGAAAAGACCATTTCCAATCACATCCTGGGTAACAAAACACACTGCTACTGACAAAATAAAGGATATGCTCTGTCGCAACAAGTCCAACGGGGCCAAGGTGGGTGTACGAGTAAGGCTGAGAGATCAGGACGATGTATTGGACGCAATAACTTCCACTCCTGCGTCTCAGCGTTATTGGACCAAAACCATGTTTGAAAATCCTGCCGCACCCACATTTGCGAAGTTTTCCACTAGTCCTGGTATTTGTCTTATATTCAGGTCCTTTATTTTGACAGAGTCCAGTGTCTCCTGTCGTTCTGCTTACTTTCTCTTTGAAAACAATAATCATCTGTTTACCCCGGGGCCCGGAGAACAAAAAGAGGGGTAAAGGAGAACCAGAGCATGCTAACAAGTCACATCATTTCAACATGGCATACTGTAATTGCGCTCACACACACACACACACACACACACACACACACACATTCAACAAGCACAAAATTGAGACTTTTACACTCATTCTCTCTCATACATCTCCAACGTAAAACGACATTTTCTGACATCCTTAGTAAAATGCACCACTGGCAGATCACGTAGACTTTGCCTCATGCAGACGTGTGAACAGAAAGCTGAATGGAGTGAGACCAGTCATGACTCAAACTGGAGGCACGATGCTACCCAGGGCCGAGCGACACGCAAACACACATACACACACGCAGACACACACGTACACACTACCCCTCGATCGGAACTTTTATGGCCAGTATCACCAAAAGCAGAGGTTCACAGAGAGATCTTGACGTCTCCAGGTTAGCTTGGTTGGATAGCGACGGTTCAACGCTCCTCGCCTTCCACTCAAGTCCTTTTACGCCGTGGGAAAGCAGCATCTATATGAGTTCTTTAGCGAGCTAGCATGCCAAAAAAACAGAGTCAGTTTTGTAGGTCCTCCTGCCACCTTGTGAAAACAAAGGAGTTCCTTAAAACAACCAACTAACTAATTACTTTGCAAATAAAAACTCTTCAGGAACCTCTGCTTTTACTTTTCAGAACAAAACCAGACAGTGAAATTAAAAAAAAGAGACAAATGAAGTCTGGACTCACACAGAGAAAGAGAGAACAGAGTGCTGTCCACCGGTCTACTCGAGGAGAATGTTAGCTTCGGGGACCCCCCACAGCTACCAGAATGAGAGGGGTGAACAACACATTCATAAAATCTTAGGACAGTGAGACATGATGTATTTACCGCAGTATAATAACTGAGGATGGAGCTCAGATTTTCAAACTTGAAATGACTTCTTTTGCTCCGTACCGTCAGAAACTCCTCCATGATCCAACTATCAACACTTTTGTTAATTGGCAGAAAGACGCCTTATGAATTTAGTGAATAAGAAAAAGTTAATCCGTATGAATACTTGCTTTAAAAGTAGTTTTGATGATGTATTTTAAGCAGGAAGAAGCTTCGATCTCCATCCCTAAATAAAACACAGGCCAAATACTCAAATTTGGGATTCGCCTCGTCTCCATTAGAAAGCCTAAAACCTGCTGATCTGTGCTTCAAACATGCTCTTAATGGGCATGCGCTTTTATATGGATCACAACAGCTGATCATTGATGAGAATAAATCACATTTTTAGCTGTATTTCTGCTCACTTTATGACTCCACCTACATCCAAATTAAACACATAGCTTATCTGCTGCACTGTATTTACCAGCTACTTTCAAACAGCCTGCCTGCTATTCTGCACCGAGCAGATATTGCTTGCCTATTGTATCTGGAAACCACACTATAATAGTGAGCCACATGCGGGTGGCTTCACTGTGGGTGATGTTATTGTTTGGTACACTTGTATTTATATGTAGTAATTGTAAGTGTTAAACTTTGAGGAGCGGGCTCAAGGTTCGGCTGCAGAGTTAACTCCAAACGAGTCCTTTCAACTTCTTGGAGAGTGAAAATGTGTCACTGTTCTAGTATTTTATGGATGCACTGAGAGCATGAATAAACCTCTCCATCCCTAATGAAAAAGAGGTATGTTGTTTTTCTGTTTGAGTGTTTGTAACAAAGACAGATGGAGGAAAGGAAAAAAGGACAGTAAGGAGAGGGCTCGGAGGTAAAATTGGACACTGTACAATACATTTGGCAGGGGTTTTTGACGTCGAACATCTCCCATCAGAGATGAAACACACACACGGAGGGGTTCGAATGAGAGTTGTGTGTGTGCACATGCAAGGCGAATGAACACAGAACGGGACAATGTGGTCATTCACATGCTGTCAAGTGGGGCTGGAGGCTCTCTGTCTTGGGTGTGTGTGTTTGATTCATAGGCAAAGTGTTCAGCAACCTGTGTTTGTTGGCGTTAATCTTTCACTACAGGATGTTACACTGTGTGTGTGTGTGTGTCTGTGTGTGTGTCTTTGTGAACTCACATGCATTTTCTCTTTAGCGACAAACATGGCAGGCACTGGAACAGAGAACCGATAGCAACAGATATTCCATCTCTTGATTCACCGATTTTTCAAAACATCTGAACGTCTGTAGTGAATCACTCCATCTGATCCTTTGCCATTCATCGCCATGGCTCGCTTCCACCCGGCGCAAGGACACCCCGGTCAGGCGGCGTCATTCAGTGATCTCCCCACAATGGACAGACATCGTGGTCATTGTAACACTCATTGATTAGTATAATTAAAGCACAATTTCTTCTGTATGCAAGCCCTTCCTCAAACACATATTTTTTTTTCCTTTTTTTGTTTTTTAATTTGTTCCTTCAATCTGGAGTTTATTGCAATCAGGTGAACAGCAGGTCATGGGCAGAGCCGTGTCAAGAGGAGGGGAGTTGTAAGAGTCAAAGAGTCAGCTGTTGATTCACACACGTAGGGGGGCAGGTAGTTGGCCAAGGTAAGCAGAGGCAAGGTAGAGCAGTTTGGTTGGTTGGTGCAGGCTGGCGTACGAAGCCGATGCTCCTATCATCTGGCGTAGTGCTTGATGTATTCTTGAACCTTATTCCGGAAATCCTCCTGGATTGGAAACAAGGAGAGGTAAAAGGAGAAAATGAGAGTCAGATTTTAGGAGGAGAAACTACTAAATCTGACCGATAATGTGAAGAAAACAACAAATAAAAAGGCGATCAATCTACACAGAGCGACCACATGTGAGGTGTGTTTGATTTCTAGACCTTTGTCCACAGCAGCCTCCACTGTGCAAAGTGACATCTTGCCTCTCTCTCTGCAAAATCCCTCTGCAAATATTCCACTGATTATCACCTGCAAGGCCATGTCAGCCTGATCTGACATTTCGAACACACTCACTTCCACTAAATGAGCAGTTTGCATGTTACCTGTTCATCACTGCTAAAGATCTCATGAGAAAAACTTGGTTAACTAGGCTAACTACACTTTTATTTAACTATACCATTAAGTAACTTCAAATAGTTCCCCCTGGAGTTCCACAGGGGTCGGTTCTTGGCCCACTCTCTTTCACGTTATACAACCTCCTGCTCAGTCCAGCTGTCAGAAACGTAACATACCTTTATATGTCGATGATACTCTGGTGCACATTTCCTTCTCAGAAACTGTTACACTATATCCATGATATTAACTGCCTGATGTCTATAACTTTTAAAACTAAATTCAGAACAAGTGTAAGTATGTATTTGATTCAAATTCAACTTTGTCAGGTTCATATTAAGCTTCTACCTTTTGTCTGCTGGGTAACTCTTTACAACAACCATAATTTATAAATCATAAATAGATAGTTTATTATTGTTTAATCACCATTTAAAAACAGCATAAAGACCAATTAAAAATGGAAAATAGATAGTTTATTAACGTTAGTTAATAGTTACTTTACCATTAACAAGCAATAATATTATGATTAATAATTTTCATTAATTCTTAATGGACTATTTATTAAAGGCTTATATAGGGTTTAAATATTGGTTGTAAAACATCCAGATTGAAATGCGTGTCAGTAGCACTTTATAAATGATTAATAAGTGGTTTATAAACCATCTATAAACATTACTTAGATGTTCTTGTACAGTTAGGGTTAGGTTTTTAAAATTGTATTATTTGAAATTTATTAATGGTCTATATGCTATTTATAAATGATGATTAAACATTTATAAACTATCTACTTAACATTTATAAATGGTCTAATTATCACACATAAGTTATAGTTTTTGTAAAGTGTTACCGTCTGCTGCTTCTACTTAATTTCCTGACTGTGTGCTTTTTCCTGCTGATCTGATAACAAAGTAAATCTAGAGGATAAGAGTCGAACCAAAATTCGTCAGATTTATATGTCTATCATGCAAGCTGACTTCCTGTGTTTAAATCCCAGTGGATCTTGTGCACTCTGTCTGTGCTCCATTTTCCTTCTGTTTATCGCTCCATTCTCGCTGTATTTGGCTTCTTTCCATCCCACCCACCATCCGAACAACCAGCCAGCCAGCCTCTAACCTCCACTTGGTCGCTCCGTAGACCCATCTCTTCTGACTGCATCTGGTTAGATCGTGCTCTGCGTGAACTTTACCCTGCCTCCTCTTCTTTGGCTCTTCATCGGCTCTTGAAAAGAGGCCCGAAATGATGGAGATCATTTCCAGCTTTCTGTGCCAACCTTTTCTACAACTTGGGCTGTTTCGCCGTACAGAATTTTATTTAACCCAGTTTGCTTGTGTCTAAATCTTCCTCATTTCATTCAAACTAGTCTTAACTACAAAGGGCAGCATGCTTACAATCAACATATGAAAATCCTGGCTGGTGAAAGGCTGCAGGCTAGCTTTAATCTGAGCGGTAGCAAGCAGCAAGAAGTGCAAAAGCAGTTCATTTAGCTTCTACATGAAGGCTGGATCTGTGCTTTTAAAGAGGTTTATAGTGTTGACTTGTTTACGATTGGTGTGTGAAAAAAGACTGGGTTTATTTTCCTTTCCAAGGCCAAAGCAAAGTCACTTCAGAAAAGATGTACTTAAGCTGGATAGCCTCACTCATGAATATTTAATTGTTTACTCCTCAGTCAACTGTTCAGTTCACGATACTGTAAACCCGAGTTGTAGCTACTTTATCTGTGCTCCTCTCTCTGTTCCTGGTCCTGGTCCACATTTGTTAACCCCATCTATCTATCTGTCACCACCAGAGTCCAAGCCATGAAATACTGGCATGTTCCTATGTTCTGCAGTACAACCTGAAATTTCCCACCCAAGTGTCCCACTCTGACATCAGCAGACTGACTTATGTCACAGCCCCAGTGTTTAATAAGTCATGCATTACATTTTTGGAGCTTCTGTGCATGGGCGACAGGCAGTGGACGTGAGGAAAAACACGAGCTAGAGGGAAGAGGACGACATGGAGAGAGATGGGAAACAGGGGCATGGTGTGCGTGTGTGGAAACATGGATGACGGACAGGAATGCTGAGAAGCTGCCAGCGACTGAAACTTCAGCAGTAATGACAGCAGTGTGAGCGTCTGTCCGCTGGGAGATGATGGAGTGACCAAGTGCTGCTGAGGGATGTCTCCCTAGTGGATGAGTGGCCCACAGCGGCACAATGAGGTGGGTTTTCACTGGCACACACTGTGAGGGTATCTCCTACTGTTTGTGTTATTTCGGTTGATGTTAGAGCTTTGGCACCACCTCTGAGAGCTCACAGATGCTCTTTTCATGTTTAAGCCTCTAGTAATCAGTGCAATCTGAAAGGTCACAAGCTAAAAATATTCAATTATCTTTCTTAACTTTGAAGCATCTTATTTTGCGTTATATATACTCAATTTTCTTTCTTAGTCCCTCCTTTCTCTTGTTGAGCAGAAACTAGCTGAGGCAGCAAATTACTCTGCAGCTCGTTGCATCGAAGACGCCGAGTTTGCCTTGCAGTCGATTAAAACACTGTTGGGCTACGGCTTACAATTCTTGGCTCTCTTTCAACAGCGGAAGGCAATTAACTCTCCTCTCCTCCAGCAATTCTGTCCAGGTACCACTGTCAGGGGGGAGGAGGAGGAGGAGACAAATGAAATCCTGTGGGTACATACAGTTACTGTTAAATCTGTTAAAATGGTAAAACTGAGCTCCGGAAAGCCCCAGGAAATATAAAATAGACAGACTGTGAAGGGACAGGAGGAGAGGTGTGAACAAGGATGGACAAATTGGAACGGAGGAGAGAGAAACTACAGGGGATACAGAAGATGGGGAACACAGAGAGCCATCCAAGTTTTTTTACACTGGAGTCAACAGTATTTTGAGGATTTAGTACATTATGTGGTACGGTAGGGCTGGGCGATAAACCGAAAATTCCCCCTGCTCCACGCTAATACTAAAAATTATCCAAGAACAGGGTATGTGGCAGACTTGTGTCCAAAGAGGGGAGTCAAGCTCAAATTATCTGGTAGGGCTGGGCAATAAACTGAAAATTTACCAATACGAAAATTTACGACAACAACTGACGTCATTTTGCCCATGTCAATATATATGGTGTCAAAATAATAAATAAATAAATAAAAGTTGGTTTTGGATGTGTGTAGGTAGGTTATGGTCTCGTGTCCCTTTAAGACGCTGTCCTACATCAGAGACATGACTCCACCCCATCTAGTCTGTAACAAAGAGAGAAAGACAGGTGAGGAGATGGAGGACGGTTCAGAAGTTGTAGCTGCTGGAGCGACAGCTGAAGTAGACAAAGTTAATGTGGGAGGGGGTGAGCAGCTTGTAGAGTAGTTATCATCCATTCATCGTTATTGAGGTGAACTGCTCACTATATCATAATATTGATTTGAGGCCATATCGCCCAGCCCTATGAAAATTAAACCCTTAATAGCCCTGGGTTTAGTATAGTGAAAAGTTTCCACCTCAAACATGTATAAAGTTTAACTTTGAACTTTAAGTGACTCATTATGACTAAGATAATTTTGAAGTATGTCACTGCAAAAATCACAGATTTCCTTTGGTTAATGCTGTAAAATCAAACATGTCCTTTTTGTTGCCTTTTAATAAGATGTTGAAGGACTTTTGGATTTTCTGCAGCAGCTGTGAATCGTTCTGTCAGCAGCTGGTCAGTAGAAAAAAGAAGTCTGTGAATGCTGAAAATTTCACTTCCTTTTTTTTTTTTTTTTTTGCAACATGCTTCTGTAATTTGGTAGACTGCTGCTGAGTCTTGTGCTTCAGACCTTTACACTATCATATTGAAGGTTAGATTTCAAAGTACTGAAACATCTATTTGATAAATATTCTCCGATTATGCTTGGTTTGAGACTAAAATACGTATGGATATTTGATAAAAATTTACTTTAACCCTGGGTCCTAAATACACGACTGATCAAACATTCCCATCACATCAGACAAACGTCTCTCTTCTGGGTTGTTAAAACCATCTTAGGATCTTAGAATGAAACTTACAGTAACAAGCTGTAGAAATGATGAGCCTCACCTTCATTAATTTGCATCGCTCTTGGTCACAATTTGCATAAACATTACCATGGAGCACTTCTTTTAGAGAAATGAATTTGTTTGTCCTCCACCTCATCAAGAGATGCCAAGTGGATGGATGTTGCTCTGGACAACTACACCTAAGATGAAGCCCTTGACCCTCTGATTGAGAGACAACTAAATCTACTGGTTGTTAAGGGACGGTCCCGCCCTCCTTCACCTCTGGTTGGCTATAAGTGCTGACCGTTTGGCTTGAGCGTGTGATGACGTTTCCGGCTTTTCTAGGCAAATCAGAGGAAGGAGGCGGGACTGTCCTCTGGGAAAGTCTTCCCCGGGATGCATCTTTTCCCCCCGGAAAGTCGCAAAATCGCATCGGGGATGATGTGTATGGTCAGGTGCGTAAAATTTGCCTCCGAATATTTCTTGATTTCGCGTCATATATTTCTGTCGGCCCCGGTGTGTAAGGACCTTTAGTCAACCTACCAGTGCGTCTGCAGCCAGCCTCAAGGGGGCGCTTGGCCAACTGCAATTTCTTACGTATTTCGTATTTCTTAAGTACAGATAGTGAGGACTCTCACATACCTTTGGCTTTTACAGTGCTACAATAAGACCATTAAAAGCCTTAACCTGGGTTACTACATCTTGTATAAAACATATCTAAAGCATAAAAATTATTAGGATACAAACAGTAACAAGTCAAGCCTGAGTAAACAATGTTATATTGACACAAAGTGAACACTGGGACTTAGTTTTTAACTAAATTATATGTGCCTCCAGATCAGCGTAGATGTCTCATCTTTCCCTCCTTTGGTACTTTAATGAGACCTTTAGGGCCACAGCGATCGATGCTCAAGCCAGAGAGCTAATAACAAGGACAGAAGCCAGTACAGGATGCTGTAAACACAATGCAGTGTGTTTATGTGTGTGTGTGTGTCCCCTGACTTGATTGGTTATTGATTGAAAGAGGCCGAGCCACTGGAGGTACCTGAGGAAGCAACAGTGAGCATGTAAACACCAAGAGGATGAGTCAGGTGGTGTGTCAGATTGATGGGGAGTAATCAGAGTGGATGTAGAGGATTTAGTATGCAAACGGAGGACAAAGGGATGCATGAACCTTGGAGCTTAACTACTCACAAACCCTTCAAGGTGTCGCCCTGTCACTCTGTGTGCTTAAGCGGTGATCAATATCAATTTGCAGTGCACCACAGAAAATTGCGCAGCGTGTCGGAGATATTCCAGCAACAGTAATTTATTTTCGGTCAAAATGCTGAGGCCGATTTTTTCTTTTTTTTTTTTTTTTGGGCAAAGCAGGTTTTTGAACTTTTCTGTTTCTCAGCAGTTCATCCTTTTGCCATTTCATAGACTTGTGACATTTAAATAATGGCACTTGCTGCTGGGTAGTGAGTGAAAGGGTAGGAGCCTTTGCACTTTGGCTTACACTGCTCGGACTGTTCCCTTCTCTTCTGTCTTTGGGACTTAAGACAGCAAATCCAAAAATACAATCTGAGATAAGTCCAACATTGGTTTATTTCAACATTATTGGAGCGTTTCAGGGATATACATCCTCTTCTTTTCATCGTCAGAGACACACCCAGCAATATACTAGCAGGTTATTAATTAAACTTGTTTAATGAACGATAACAGCGCTTTATTTAACTCTTCTTATGAGGTTGGAGAAAGCCAGTTATGATTAAATAAGAGGTGTTGGTATAATTTTATGGTCCTTTTTCTTTTACAGGTAATAAGATTGAAATGGACTTCCCAACATTTTTATGTTATAAGAAGGTTTGATGACAAATGTTGTCCAATAATAAGACAAATCAGCAAAGATGTGATGAGTACTGGATGCAGAAATATTGACACTAAAAATTCCTTATAGTAGCTTTAAACAGAAAACCCATCACAAGGGTCCTGAGAGGACTTTTTGGCTGGTTTTAAAGCAGACTTAAATTCATACTGATGCTTCTCTATGACCTACAAAAGCAGAAAACAGCAACAAAACTGGATAGTTCTGAACAGTGAATTTGATGGTGATGATTCTGGTTGAATGACATGAGTAAGGGTGCCCCATTTAGTTTTTTTAGTGACTGTAGGACTGTCTCTGCTTTCTCATTTCCGCATTGTTGCCATTAACTTTAAAGATTGGGGTAAGATTGTCTCAAATTACCGATCCCTGATCAGTTAAGTCAAGCCTAGATTAGCTCTAATCTGACTTTTGGGATGTATATATTAGTGCACAGGTGTTGCCAAGTTTAATAAAACCTAAAGTTCCTCACAGGAGCTTTAAAGTCTGAACAGAGTATAGATACAGTAAAAGTTCAGTCTAAAGAAAAGCCAGACAGCACTTCTATTGTTATAATGAATACGTCTGTGTATCAGTGTCTTTATTCAATTACCTCTTATCTAAGTCCTCTGAAGAAGCCAGTGGATGAAAGTCTCTCATGGGGGCTCTACACTTTTACAGGCTGGGCAGATCTGACAGCTCAGTTTTCATCTTAAGTCTTTATGAAACTAAAAAATCTGCTTTAAAACAATCCCTGGACTTCAACCAGAGGATGTACTCTGAATTTCACCTGCTTCAATTCTTTATAAGAGACGCAGAGGAAATCTGGATTCCGTACCAAACAGTAACTGCATATGTAAACACTAAAACTACCAAATCATTCAATTAACCTTTTCTTCTTCTGTACAGTTACATTTGTTACTCAGGTGTCTGTGCATGTGTGCATTCAACAGTCACTTATTACCTACACATGTACTATACACTTCAACACACACCCTGAATTGCCCAATTGGATGTTCCCTTTCAGCCACTTCAACCAGGAAATGTATGCAGAGAGCAGACACAAGAGGAGCTCCACTTGAAAAAACCTCTACACGCACACACACACGAGCAAACATGCACACAGAAGCACACACGCTGAGACACACACTCCCACAGTTCCACCCACTCACTGCGGAAGTTGATTGCGGCAGGCTGGGACTCAGTGGGAGTGGGTCATGGATGGATGGCTTTGTGTTTTCATTTGTTGGAAAGCCCAGATATCACAACAGACCAGTGAGGCAGCACGGAAAACATCAAGAAAATTTACTTTCACTGCACACATCAGCTGTAAAAAATAAAGGCTTTTTAACAGGCTCTCCTCCATCACTGATGTCTTTCATTTCTGCACATTGGAAATAAAGTAGTGTGGATTGGATCTTGATGTAAGATAGAAAGGTGGTGCATTCAGCAAATGTCCTACTCTGGTACCTTGAATAGGAAAAGAGGTGGGCAATTTACCTTTCTGGAAATGAATCACCACTGAGACAAAAAAGTCAAACCAATGAAGTTCTAACAAACTCTCCAAACTCCAGTTTTCTACAGGTTTTGTAAAACTGACTTTTTTTCTGAGTTTTTTTCTCAGTGGCTTAAGACTGAAATCAATATCATTCAGCATTCTCCACATTGAAGTCACCCCATAGTTGATGAGAAAGCAGGAGTGTTTTAATTGTTTTAAATGTGTGCAAAACTTGAGCACAAAAATGAAACCATCTGTTCTAACTTATTCTAAGTGGCTCCAGAGATATTGTGAGACCATGCAGACCGAAGCAGAAAACTGAAACTGTGTCTGACCCCGTTTTTGAAGAATTTTGATTTTGAGGAATTTCAGCTTTTTGCCGTTCACATCCTAATTAGCTGCTGAAGTGTCCACTTGAAGCCTGCTGAAAAAGTCGAGCTCAAAATCAGCCCAACTAATTTGTTTGTAAAGTGACAGTGGCTTCTCCTGGTAGGGCTGGGCGATCAACCGAAAAATTTACTGATACTGAAATTTATGACAATAAATGAGGTCATTTTTGCCCATATATAATATATTCTGTGTCAAATAAATAAATATATAAAAGTTGGTTTTGGATGTGTGTAGGTCGCCTATGGTCTCATATACCTCTAAGATGCTGTCCTACATCGGAGACGTGACTCCACCCCAACAAGTCCATTACAAAGAGGGAAAGACAGGTGAGGAGATGGAAGACGGTTTAGAAGTTGTAGGCTGAAGTAGGCGAAGTTGATTGGGGTGAGCAGCTTGTGGAGTAGTTACCGTCCATTTATCGTTTTCAAGGTGAACTGCTCAATATATCGTGATATTGATTTGAGGCCATATCACCCAGCCCTAACTTCTTGGCTATAAAACGCAGCTTTTAAGAGACTACATCCCTTTTTTAAACAGTGACCAGTCATGGCTGATTGGTGTTGAACCCAGGAACAAACACTCTGACCATGTGCTTATTTTTAGCGAAGCTCTAGTGAGCACTCAGCTTGTGCTTGACGACTGGAAATACAGTGTGTGCACATAATTCAATAGGTTGTACGTCTAAAAGGGATCACCCGTACAGTGAGTTGACATTTATACAACCAACCCTGACATATTAATGTTTGTTTCTGACACCTAAAGACCAGGACCTCTTTGTATTAACTTCATGAAAAGCTCTGAATTGACACCGTCATCCTACACTGGAGACCATTGACTCACCTCAACAACCCTAACCCCTGCCACAAAGCAGCAATCATTCCACACACACGCTCTTTCTCATTCTCCCCTCTCTCACAAAAAAACACAGAACAACTCTTTCACGTCTAATGGGGTCACATGGCTGCCATTATCACACACCGCTGGGCACACCCTGATGCATCATGGGAATGGGTACTCGCAAAAATGCCAAAGGTCAAATATTGTGTTTTAAAATGCTTTCAGCTCCCCTCAACTCATCCCAAACTGCTCCCAACGGCTCCCTCTCCGGCCAGCAGCAGCCTCCCCGCAGAGCTACATTAGCTCAGTAGACAATCTCAGGAAGCAATTACCAAGAGCAAAACACTGAAAATGTCGGTTTTCTAACACTTTTTGACACCGACAGAGAGCTGAATAAGAGAGAGAGGATGATGCACAACATAGGAGTTAGACGGAGAGGCAAAATAGAGAGGAATAGAGGCATCAGTTATCAATTAGAAAGGGTGCCAATCTGTCTGGAACAGCTTGAATTTTTTTTTTTGCTTAGAGGAAGGCTGGCGTTCAACAGCTATCATGCTAGCACAACGTCTGTCATTGTGCATGCAAAAGAGGCTGAATGGAGAGTCCAAGATGAAGTTAAACTGGAGGTGAAGTTTGCAAGAACACACTCACAAAGTTCCCCAGGTGTGCAGATGCGTATAAATACAGACAGAAACACCCACGCACACGCATTATAAACATCACCGAGGAGAGAGCATGGAGGAGTGTGGAGTTCTGGTTTAGGCTGCTGATTTGACTTACAAATTGCCTGCTGTCTACTGCAGAGTCACAGGATCTAATAGTCGAAGTTGTTTTTCTTTTCTTTTTTACAAACACCATATGTTCCATATGCAGCCTTTCAACATAACGTAACAGCCAGTCACAGCTCGGCAGGGAAGCTGTGTGCTCTTTGTCTTCAGCCCACCGCACCAGATTAAAGCACTCTCAACTGATTATCACATCATCCCACCTACAGAAGCAAGAAGTCACTGAAAGCCGCAGCAGGAAATGGAGTTACTGCTGCAATCGGAGATCTCTGCCAAATACATTCCCTGAGCAGGATATCAACAAGAGCAGGGGTATGAATTTCATTATGATGAGCAAATCTCAGACAGTACGGGCCACTTTAGAATCGAATCATCTGCGTGACGGTGAAGGAGAGTTTCTGTTTTGCACTGACACTATGGCTCCAGTTTGATCGCATGGAGAAGTTCTGCTCAAGTCTCACCTTGTCTCTCAGATGATGTTCTGCTGCATCGATATTCAATGGGTCGTCAAAGTTCAAAAGGTCCTGGAGAAAAGGCAAGGAGAGAGAAACAGAAAAGGTGTGACGACATTAAGATAAAAAAATTATGAAAAAAAGTTGAGAGAAAGTTTAATTGATTTTCACACCATCTGTGATGCTTCTCTATTGTGTTACGGAACTTTTAAAGGTTCGATATTTTATCCCTGGTCCAAATTTTGTTTACCAATAAAAAAAAAAAAAGCTCAACTGCTGAAGAGTTATTGCTCACTTCAGCACTACGCCGTCTGCAGTGTCACCCCGCATTCTGCAACTGCAGCAAACACAAAGGCCTAATTATGCGGCTCTGTTCGAGACGCTGCGAGCGAGAAGACGAGGAGTGTTTTTGGAGGGATAAAAAGAAGGAAGATGACCGGGGAGGTTGTTTCGTGATTAGGAGGTAAGACTTGGGGCAGGACCGCACATCAGTGCAGATAAGCATCACTATTATCATCATGAACAGAGCTCTGACCTGGGGAGGTTTGTAAAAAACAATCGATAATGCTTTTATGAAAGCTTGAATTGGCAGCGTCTGCATATTTGGGACACACTGATGAATCTGAGGACTTTCATTTTGCCTTCAAAGCGTTCAAAGTTTAAACATCCGCTCAATTATTTGATATCTGAAAGCATATCAGGAGGTCAAATCCTTCAAGTGTCTCTATAATTTAATGTTCTTTTGATCAAATAAGCAGATATTTTAACGAGTTTCCCTTTAATCCTAAATCAATATATTCCTGAAGTTTCTCTTTTTTGTTTTGTAATACATTCAGGCCCAGCTCAGTGTGCTCTTTTGAGACACTGCACTAAAGAACATTTAAAATCAGATGGTTTGCATTTAAACAAGGACTTTGCATATTGAAATGTTCTTGTTTTTACTCCCTAGAACTTGATTTGTTCTTTATGAAAGGAATTTATCTGGAACATTTATTTTATTTTAGCAATAACAGGCTTAAAAAGGGGTTATCTAAGTTTGGACTGCTGCACTGTAACTTTTAAACTTCTGTTTCAGTTCTGTCCTGCAGGGTTCCTACACAGTTGGAATTTCCATACTTTTCAATACCCTACTTTTTAGAATTATTTATGGAAATACCTTCTTTACTATTTTCAAAAACAGTATTTCAGAACTGTGGTAACAGTCTAGAAACATAAATATTTTTTCACACTTTACTTTTCATTTTCGATACATTTTTAGACCTGGAAATTGATCAAATTTATGTCCATACTTTGGAACCCTGGTCCTGGCATACTTTAACTCCTCCTCATCCTCTCACTGACTCTAAATGATCTGCTTTAATTGCTTTCGAATGGAAACTTTCACAATGTCGTAATGTTTTGTTAGAAGCACTTTTGAGTTGCTCACATAAGCTGTACAAATAAACACGCCTTCCCTTGACTAATAACAATCATAACTTTTTAGATATCACTTTTAAAAACAGACGTTTGACACACAAATCAAAAGACAGAACAAAGTCAAAACTTAAGGCAAACTTACGGTGAATAAGGAGTTCAGACCCCACACCACATCCTGGAAAAAAGGGAAAAAAAAGAAGCTTTTACACCACAAGATGGATCAGGCTGTTCAGAAGCAAATGCATTGAACATTTTCATGTGTGGGGTGACCTAATCAAGATTTTTGACTCCCTGGATATACATGTCGATGGTGCATACAAACTCTAATTAGCTGTTGTAACAGAGATCTCATATATAGAGCTGATTCACAGAAACTGTTATGACATGGTGTAAAATAGGGTTGTAAAATATTGCTCAAGTTAAAAGATGTAAATGAGACTCTGCAAGAATCTAACTAACAAGCAACAGTGAAGCTACTTTGGGCTTGAACTTTTAATGAACCACTTATGCAGCAAGTACACTCCTACTGACCGTTAGCTAACTAATAAAGGTATGTCAAAGTATATTGAGGATTTCCTCCCAGGTTTACTCTCATATGACTCACCCACAAACTCAAAAGTTAAAAAAAACATTAAAAAGCATTCAACTTCAAGAAAGGAGCAATTGATGTGATTTTGGGCATCTGAAAAGGACGCCTCCCTTTAGAGGTGCTAAAACGTCAAAGTGGGAGGAGTTGTTGGAGGGGATTATGTATCCCACCTGACCTGGGGAGGCCTCCGTATCCCTAACTAAAGCTGGAAAATGTTGCTGAGGAGGGGAATGTCTGGGTCGACTGCTGACTTCATGACCCGACTCCGAAAAGTAGAAGAAAACGGATGGAATATTAAATTTACCGCCAACCTGATTCCTACAGCAAATATCTTATTGAACAAAAACCTTCAAAGAATTGTGAACTGCTTTAATTTTCACCCCAGAAAAAAAAAAAAAAGTACCACGCCAAACAAAATATGTAAAAAATCGAATCCCTGTATCTCCTCCTGTGTGGCTAAAACATTTAAATTAAGACGGTGGAGCAGTTCTGGCTGTTTTTTGTCTAGAAAAATAGAGGAAGCATCATTATGGCCTTTAATCGCCGTCACTTTCCCTCATTTCTTCTTACAGGAAAATTCAAATACAGCAGTGACATGGCGAAGGAGAAGTACTCAATTATCTTCCATTCACTCCGCACACTTGTACTTCATTCGTTCACATAATGAAAAGAAGCTTTGGACGTATGGTATCTGAATAAGCAGCGATGAGCAAAATGTCTGTTTTTGCTACTGTATGATAAAAATGAAATTGACATAATCTTGGCTGTCTTTGTCTTCGTCTTATGCATCGCTGTATGGACTAATCCACAGAGAGAGAGGTTGTCTTTCTTGGATTATGGCTGAAATAAAAGTAAATCTGTTCCCAGCTATTATCTGAACTAGAGAAGCTCATTTGTAACAGTCGCTGAATGGTTTTAACTAAATTTAATTAGGTGTACTTTGTGATATAGAAAATGCAAATCAGCTCCCGTTTTAAACTCAAGTCAGCACATTCCCTGCAATATATTAAATCCATCAGTTCAAAGTATATGATGGCTTTAATATGTATTCATATTTTTTAGAATGAATACATTTTTAATTTTACTGTTGCTAGTTTATAATTAGCCGTAGATTATCATCTTCTTATAATGTTTTGTCATATCTTATATTCCTTTATACTGTTCTTAATTGGTTATACGGCAGTTATTTTCAGCTGTTAGGCTGTAAGGCGGCAATCAGGCACAACGGTAAGCTCTTAAACAATCATCCCATTAATTAAAGACACTCCAGGACACTCTGGTAAATGAGATTATTGATCTTAATGAGGTTTTTCTCGTTAAATAAAATTAAATGAATAAAATAAATAAATAATTAAAAAGAGCTTTTCACTGATTGACCAAAATGAAGGCAAATAATTTTGGAATTAAGGTGAACGTTTTTCTCAAATGGTACAACCGAATCCTCTTCTGTGCAAAACTTTACCCTAAAGGTCTTTTCACAACAGGAGCGTTTTAGTCGAGCGATTATTTTGGACATCAACATTTTTTTTCGAACCCGTATCCTGTCAATACAAGCGTTCACATCAGCGATGTTTTCCCGTCCTGCAATATTTTCCAAAGTTTCGCATACTGTGTGTCTACTTCTGACCAATCAGATTGCGTGTTGTTGCGCCATCAGATTCACCAGTATATCCAACATGGCCGACCGGCTGATTGTGCTTGCTGATTGTGTAGGAGAACAGGGTGCTTTTGGATAAAAAAAAACAAACATTACAAAGATAACGACCTGAAGGATGGTTTGTGTGCTTTAGCAGTTTGCTAAACGTCTTTGTTTTAACTTTCATCTGTGCTAAGTAACTTTAGCTCGTAAGCTAACCTGTTCAGATACAACATACCATATGTATTTTCACTGTCTCAAACTCAATCACAGCGTTGCTCTCACAGCACCATTAGGTCTCGATTACCTTACGTTTATGGATTATAGTTTAATGTCCTTATCTGGTACTGGCCCCGACTCAGTACATGCTATCATGTATAGTCAGGTGCGTCAAAATTCGCCCCTGAATATTTCGTTAATTTCGCGTTGTATACTTGCTTCGGCCCCGGTGTGTAAGGACCTTTACTTTTTAAAACTTCTTGTGAGCTTTTGATCACCGAAATTCAAAAAGAGATCATTTTTTTGCGATGATCTGCTCCACTCTTCTCTTTGTGCATTGCACCATGGGTGTCTGCATTGGCAGCAAACTCCAGCACTTGCTCTAATCAGTTTTCATGGTATGGGGGTTTAAGCTTACTTTGAGATTGTTTCAGTTTTAAACAGGAAAGCTTATTTGTAGATGTAATTGTTTAAACTGTTTACAGTTAAATAGATGTTTTAAACAGTTCCATTTAAAGGAAGTTTATAAGCCAATAAGCCATAAGCCATAAGTTAAAAAAGGTCAGAAGAGAGGATCTAGTTTTTTATCAGCACTTTGGCCAAAAAAGAAAACAACAACAGTAAAGATAAAATCAGCCAAATCTGTGCACTTTGTAAACTTGTTTTTGATCATGTTTTGCAGATGAGATTTGTGTTGCATTGCCCATATAAGTCCTTGTTGTGAAGGTATTTTGCATGATACAGTGTGTGTGTGGGTGTGGACGTGGGCTGAAGAGGAGACAAGTGGTGACCAGCAAAGAGGGACATCATCACCCACTCAAACACTAACACAATCCTTTCTGACTCACAGCTTTTGCACTCACCTTTTCTCACATATTTTGTGCACCTGCGGTGTCGCACACTCAGAGACACACATATGCAACTTCTCAAGCTGTGCCCCGCTCGCTGCCTAAGCTGTAAGCCTCGCAAAGCTCGCTCTGCTTTCATCTCAACTTTGCAGTGAATAGAGCGGAAACAGCCGCTTGAATTCGTGTATCTGTACAACAAAATGTTATATTGAATGAATTCATGCCAGCTTCATGTATGTAATCTTTAATACCTGAGTGCGTTCCTTAAGCCTGGCGCTGCAGCCGCTGGTTATCAATGCTTCGGTGAACATGAACACATAAAGATAAGCACCCATTCAGTATGCAAAGCTACTTTTCGAGCCGTGCAGGCAACTAAAAGTATCTGAAGGGTTGAAAGCAACAAAAAGTGCCTTTGAAAACAAGAAAACAGTGTTTCGTAGAGGTAAAATTTGGATTTTTATATACCAGTTTTCTGAAACTAGACTATCCACTGGAGGTAAAGAGTACAAAATGGCACCAGTCATGTTTTAAGAATAAGTGTCAGTTTTTAAATTTTATGCATGTGCAAAGTCTCCAACCGCAGTAAAAAGGTAAAAGGTAAAAGGTGTCTGTTTGTGTAGACCACCTCTGTTCCCGCTTCGAGTCTCACTATCGCAGGTGATGAAATAGCGTCTACACGCCTGTCACAACCCACCATCACAGCGGCTGCATGAGGTGTTAAAACAACAGGAAAAAAAAAAGATGATGTCCTCCTCATGCCTCGCTCTCTCTCTCTTTTTCCTCACAATATCAAGGCAAACAAAAAGCTAAGACTGCCTCCTGAAATCAGACGCTTTGTTTATATAATAGCTGGATTAAATGCTTTGTGTAAGCACCTCAAGAGGTCAGGACAAGAGATTGGTCCACTCAGAAAGAAATTCTCAGGAGGGTGGTTTACGCTCAGTGGCCTTGTGATGTTTTTCTCTAACATTATTTTCACTGCCCTGTCTTCTGCTTTACATGATAAGTTTTTGTGTTTTTCCTGGAATGGACTGAAAAAAAAAAGGAGTAAACAACTCCTCCAACAAAATAGCAGAACGTCTGAGTGTCTTTATGGCTAAAAATAACAAATAAGTAGGAAACAGAAATCCAAAGCCAGTGACGACAAAGAGGAGCAGGATGAAATCTCAGGTACACGGTGAGTGTTGGGGACTGCAGCCACGGGATTGTGGTTTTTTTTCGCTTATATGTGACACATTATATACAAGGACACAACAACAGCTGTGTTAAACAACAGGAACAGGCAAATGGAAAAGTTTCTCCTGTTATTTTTGACCAAATGAACACTATTAAATGAGTTTATTTTAGTTTGATTCTTGGTGTGTGTATATATCTTAAATCAGATTATTGTATTTAGTACCCATGTAAACAATTAAGACCTGACTTATCCTTAGGTCTGTCATTGATAATACCATCCTTACGTTGTTGTGGAGTTAAAGTGAGCAGAAGTGAACTTAAAAGTGTTTCTGCTAAAGCTAAGCCAAAGGAATTTTATTCTTGACATGCAAACAAAGTGTTTTTTGCATAAACAAATCACTTCTCCAGGAAACAAATACACTGAAGTAAACTTCACAGAACAAACGTGTGGGTCTTTTTTTTTTTTTTCCTTTGGATAACAGAATCTGCTCACTCATTTTTGCATTGAAAATCCTTCCTAAGGGGCTCTATAGGGGGTGAAATCCAACGAGCCGCATATGCTGAACACGGCAGCTTTTGTTTCTATAAGACCGTGTGAATACTTATTGGCTGAATTGACTTTGCTGAAATTCTCGACTAATCCTGTTGTCAAACTCGAAAGAACAACATGAGATGAAACTTTCCCGCCCGCCCACTTTGCTCTGAATACACTGGCTGTCGTTTGTTACTTATCCCCTTCACGTCCGTTTAGGGAGATCGTGTAAGCCTGTTAAGCCTAAAATATAATCTCCACATCATTCAAAATATAGAGTGTGTCTGTGCCTGGAGTCTGATGCGGGCTTTGTTTTGTTTTCTTCTCCTTTGAGGTCTTTCAGGGATCGCTTTGGTTTGAGAGACGTTTGTAAAATAAAACTTACTGAGCTGGGTCTGATTCATTCTCCACGGAGGCTGATACAGTTTTTAACACGGCACATAATTACATTAATGAACTGAAGCGTTCAGAGTCTCTGTCTGCCCTGAAGTCAGCTCGGATGAGGCGGCTTGTGAGTGATCAATGATGCTTGTTTGAATCGACCAAAGTTCACCAAAGTTGAACTCCATGCAGAACATTTTCACTGATTAATTTTACTCCCTCAAGCAAGCGCTCTGATCAAAGCAATTATCAGTCAAATTAACGGGATTGGCCCAGGAATTTACTCTTTTTCTTTTTTCTTTTTAAGATAAGCTCTGAAAAAAAAACCTGAGTTAAAAAGTCATCCTTACTTTCATTAAAGGATTAATACCTCGGTAAAGGTGGGGTAGGCAGGAGTCCGTTAAAGAAGCATCTTTTATTGTGGTGTATATACAAAAAAGCTTTTGATATCAGTCAATAGTTATTAGTTATTGATGACATTTGGTGATATAATGAAATCGCTGTGTCTTGTTATGATTGTGTAGTCAATATTTTCTCATTTTTGAGCGGTCTGCTTATTCTGACTGTAAACAAAGCCATTCTCCGCCTCCCCCAACCTGATTGGTTGTGAGACGAACGCTGCTCCTTAGTGCTGATTAGTTAGCGTGCTACAATATCGGACAGTAGAAACCAACTAGAAAGTACGGAAAATTGTCTGAGTCCTCTTTGGCTACGACTGCAAACACAAGCAAGAAAACGAACTAAAACCGGAGACTGGCGGAAAAACGGGCGCTTAAAACGGAGGTAGACGGGACAAGAGCTAAAAAGTCACGTCGACATCAATGAAGCTAGCATGAATGTTGGGGGACGCTTCAGGATCTTATGGACCCTTTAACCTTTTTGCTGGACAGGTAAACCACTTTAACAAAGTAAGCCAAGTGTCTGTAACAAAAGTGTTTCTTATCAAATGGACCTGCTGTAGCGTGTCGTAGCGCCGCTAAACTGTTGACCTCGGTTGAAACATTGTGTTTGCTGGTAGTCTGTTAGCATCTACAGTAGTATCAATGCTTTTTACTTTCACGTTGACTGGGCAACATTTGTAATTATTTGAAGTATTTATCTGCATTATATCTGATTTTCCTTTTTCATACTGCCTTTTTTTTTAAATGAACTTTATGGTTAAAGTTTGTGCGTACAAACAACTGTACACAGAACAATAGACATGATATGCGTCAACAGAAAAAATAAATACATAAATAAATAAATACATTAAACCAAGGAAATAATTAATGATGTCAGCAAAGTTAAAAAGTCGGGAAGATAATAAATAAATGAATTTAAAAACATAAATATTTATTTTTGTCAATTGTCAATTCGTGTTAGGGATGTCAGGTACTCCTTAAATTCATGAGAGAAATTATATCTGAATTTAATTGAAATGATATGAGTCAGCAGGAGCGTCTGTTTGTGGGCAGGGCTTGCTGGAGCAGAGAGGGAGGGGAGAGGAGGAGCTGAGGGGAATCGTTGCATCAAAATGCAATTTCATCCGTGTTGTAGAAGGAGACCACATACAGAATCTAATCACATCGGAGCGTCTATTTTAGTCAAATAATGGAAACAGATCTGAAATAATTTGTTTTTCCGGCCTTCGTGATGCATCATATGATTGAAATCCCGCAGAGTGAAACATCATGTGTCCGGTGATGGGAAGACTGCATGTGCCGAGATGACACAGCATTAAAAACTAATCATCGTCTAACTTGACAATCTTCCATTATGTTCTCGAGTCTGTGAAAGCGGGAACAGCGGGACGGCTTAGTCTGGAAACAAGATGAAGAAAGCAACGAGAAATGAGGCAAAAGAGGAGAGCTGACAAACACTTAAAAAAGGAGGAGGAGGAGGACTCTGAAGGATAAGACAAATCCTGACAACAACCTGAAAAGCGGTGTTGGCAGAACTAAAGAGGGTATTCAAAGAAGATTTACTGCCTGTCTCTTTAAACTTGTAAATCTGGTACTGAAGGAAAAAGAGGGCAGCCGGTGCTTCTGCAAACATTTCTTCCTCTCCTTTTTTTTTCAGGAAACGACCAGTCATATGAACAATTTGTAAACACACAACTTCATTCAGGGGGAGTTCCACTAGCAGCACTAGTGGCACATCACTTCGCTCTGCTTCAGCTACGAATTACAAAGCATACTGTAGCGATGATTTTCATCACAAACACATTCATTAAGTTTTGGCCTCATGTCACACCCCGATGTGGCTGTGAAGATGAGCCGTTAGTATCTCCTCTCTCTGACATGCAGAGCTGCACGGCCCATCTTCACGGTGCTCCTATCTGTCCACATAGGCTGGGTAATGAGCTTGTTACTGTAATGCTGATTCATGACAGATCCAATTCATGTTTCATTACTGTTTACTGTGAAACGTGGGGTAAAGAGAGAGAGGGGGAGGACATGCAGCACATGGTCAGGGCCGGAATCGAACCAAGTACTTCTGCTGGGCAATCTGCACACCCCGAAAAGATTGATCTTTAAGAATTAGAGTGTGGTGTCCTTAATGAAAACCAGCACCAGCTCTCAACAGATTTTTATCTGACTGTATGTGTCTATTAGCGCTTGAACATTTTGCGTTTGCCTGGAAAAACACCAATTTGCCCCAAATCTATGAATAATAGCTCATTTAATCAAGGCATCAGTGCAGCCTGTCTTTATCTTGCAGTGCAGTTTTGTGTGTGTTAAGTCCTTTACACACCCTTTGTAAATTAGGAGGCGTCTTTTTCCCCCATCTGCCCCCATAACTCTGCAATCCTTCTGTAAATCAGGCCCTCGGTTTCAAACTTGAGCTTCTGCGGAGAGTTATTCCAGTCAAAATCCTGCACACGGATAGCAGAGGACGTCCTTGCTTTGTTCTTCGCACACTTGTTTCTAAATCACTTGCGGAAAGTTCTCAAATGAGTGAAGGGTAAAGCTTAAGAAGTCAATGCAGTCTTTTATATGCAGCTGAAAAAGCCTTTTGTTGTAGAGTTTATCGAACATGACTCTGCAAAAGATGTGTCTCAGGAGGATTTGACTGTGTTTTCAAAATGCACTCGGAAGTGTTCCTTTTGAAGCACCAATTTGTCAGTTTAAAAAGGTAAAGAAAGAAGAAGAAGATCAGAGCTTTGCTTTGTTCTTATTACAACCAAGACCTCAAAGATTAAAGCATAATGCAGGTCGTGCTCCAAGCTGACAGATATTTAAATTTAGGGTCAAAGGTTCATGTGTCCTGTGCAGACGGGGGTTCATTCAAGAACTTGTTTCCATGACGTCTCGCTTGGCCGTCTTTAAGGCGACAAATCATCCTGAATATGAAGTGATACAAATGAAAACAAGACTAAATCTTCTCTAGATTAGTCTGATTAGTGAACATAAGCTTCCATCTGTCTGCGTGGGGATGCAACATGTGTTATTTGTATTTTGTTCTGAGGCCGCTGCTTTGCTCTCGTGAGATATGAAAATGCCACCGATGTCTTCTACGAAATGACTGAAGGTGTTGAAAAAAAGTCCTGAACCTTTATTTGGAACAGCTCAGCAGGTCTCTTCATATTCATTACGTCTCCAAAACTTAAAAATTAAAAGGTGAGAGTAGAAGAGGAGGAAAAACACATGTGAAGAGGAGAGTGATTTACCTTTAATGTTCTGGTGGGAGCCCAGCCTGTGCCGTCGATCGAATGTTCCCGCAATAAGCTGCACGGAAAAGAAAACAGCCGTTATATTTCAGGATGTCTTCTGTTTGGTGTTTCCATCAATCTGTTACTTTTACCGAAAGAGACAAATTTGAGAGGAATAGAGGAAAAAGTTGCACGAAAAAAAAAGGGTCATTACCTCAAACAGATCTCTCCATTCTCTGTGATATTAGGATGCCATATTCTGGTCAGACATCTCACTTTAGGAGGCTGGAAATTCACAGAAAAGGACAAAGAGAGAATTTGTTTTGTTATTTTTGGATTAATTTTCGTCACAAAACTGGTAAATAATAACCAAGAGCTGATGCACTTTTTAAAGAAGCAGAAAGTTTTAAAAAAGACGCCTCTATGCCTTTACTGTCACTGAAAAATAACTTTATTTTCAACAAAAACTCATCAAGGACAAGTTGTTAATGTTGTGTTTGTGTCCCTTCTGCTACAACACTCCATAATTACGACATGGACAGATGAGGCGTCTGCTAACTAATTCAATTTAAAAATATATAGGATGGATTTTTCTGAAGTGGTTCAAACAAATAAAAGTTTTGAGTTTATGAATCTGACTGAAACTTCTACTCCAAGGTCACATTTTCTACACTTTAATATTTTTGTAAGAGATCTTGTCAAACTACTAAAAGAGGTGTTTTCAACTATTTCAATTCATTTACCTGATATAAATTATAGTTTAAAATGGATGTATATGTAAAGAGGCGTTTGCATATACACAGACAGGCTGCACAAAGAAAAGTAAAGTAAAGCCTCAGACTCTGTGACTTCAGGAGATGACACAGACTAAACCTGCTTCAGTTTGACTCAGTGGACAAAAATAAGGTTTTGGAAAAATTGATGAGGAAAAAGAAAGTCATAATTAAAGTAGAAAGAAGCTTGAGTAACTTGTAATGAAAGTGGTTCAACAGTTGTACACCTTTCTTAGTTACATATCTTATCTTACACTGCTCATAATCAGAGAACTTATTTGTTGTTGGAGTTAAAAAGAATTGTGTTTAGAGTCATTTTAGCTCTTTTTAGCACACTTTTTAAATCTCTCTCCAGGTGTAGTTGGTCTGTCAGGATTAAAAGTTCTTTCAAATTGACCCATTCTGTTTTTAAAGGAGATTAAAACCTCCTTCACAGGCTGACCACTTTTATCTGCGGTATACTTGATAGACAGAGGTCCTTTAACACCACAGTCCTTCACACACCTAAAGCCTCTGTGTTAGCAGAAAAATCAATGCGAGGCTTTTTACAGAGTCTGAGAGTAAGACCACAATAAGTTGCAAACAGCTTTTGTAAACTGATTTGATGTGCAGGCTGCAAAGCATCAAAATACGGCCCACCTGCTGGGATAATCACCCTCTATGATTACCAGCGGAGAACGGCGGATCGTTCCCCTGGTTCGCTCGTGCCGAAGTTTGCCATTTAACTTTATTACAAATGTAACTTGACTTTATCGGAGGTTACGCAGAGATAACAGAGCCCCTTCCAAAATTTAATCATCCTTATCGCTCTGCTTTTCCCTCAAGACTCTTCTTCACAGGAGCAATTTCTCCACCTGACGCCTTGAGACAGAACTTTATGAATCGATTAACATTTGAAGACGATTGTTCATTATGTATCATCCTTGAGCCGAAGTCACGAACTGCAACAGATTCTTGTGGAAATGTGCGACGACAGACTCAGAGGACACATCGAGACACAAAGGATGCATACATGTGCAGGGATGAATACAAGTACAGACACATGCAGGAAGAATGAGATAAAGCTTGGAGAATAAAAGATGTAATTTATCACCCAAGGTCACAAAATAGTTCCCAGTAACTTAAAATCTCTGTATGAATTTTAATGACAAACAAAAAAACACCCTGCAGAGATTTTAGCTGGTGCCTGCAGCTGATAATGTAAAGGGACTCTGTCTCTGTTTCAGACTGATTCATGCCCAAAACCACAGACTGACAAACCGAACAGGGAAGCTCCCACCTAAGCAGGTAGACACACACACACAAACAAACAAACACACACATCAACTCCAAAGACAAAACAACAAGAGAAAACTGGACGACTTACCACCATGTTATAGGCTTCAGGGACGTCGATTTCAAACTGAAACCTTCCACTTTGGTAGTAACCCTCATCTGGAAGCATACGGAGAGGAAAGAAAACAACAAATTTAATCATTCATATACAGTTAGGTGCATTTGATTACATCCATCTTTGATTAATATTTTATTGGATTTTTTAATATCCTACATTGCAGGTACACATGTGGCAAATGTTGTACATGTTGTAAACATGACTTGAATACAGAAAGTAAGCAAATAACTGTATTATACAATTCGTACAATCCAGGAAAGAGAGAAAGAAAAATAACCACATGGTAGCAACGACGACAAAAAACAAAAAAGGAAAGGGCAATACAAGAACAATCGAACAAAAGATAAGACAGGACAGCACATCTGAAAAAACAAACAAAAAAAATAAAATACATAGCGCAGCGATGCTCAGTGTCCTGCTCTAATTAGTTATCATATCTACTATACAGTTTCTTTCATACTAGACAGATATCTTATATCCATCATTCTAAAATTTACAGAAAAAGGATCAGCAGATTATCACTGAAAATACCGTCTCAAAGAGATTCTTGCAAAAGCAGATCAGAGGACATTCGTTACAAGCAAAGAGAAGTAAACAAACAAAAACCCAGCCTTGGGTATTCAGGATTTTAAGACTCCAAGGTCAAAAAAATGGAGAGGAATACATGTGGCTGCATTGGTGTATTGCTAAAGGTACCGATAGGCAGATCAAATACAAACTGTAATTATCCAACTCGAACTGTTTTAATATCCTCTTAGGAGAGTTATTTTCCCTACATGATGCTGCAAACAATCTCCCTCGCTGATAAGAAAATGATATAAATCGCGTGGAGTTTTTTCATATATACACATTCATTCAAACACCATATGAGATGAGTTGAGATTCTCCTTATCTCGTCCTTCCTCTGCCTCACTGTATGCTCACACTGAGTAACTGAGCAATCGGAGATAAGGCTCCGGACAAAAGAGCCTTCAAAACCGCACCAGATCTCGTTCCCTTTGACAAAGACAGAGATACAGTTTAATTAGACCACACAAACCGTCTCCCCTGTATTATAAATGAGAGGAGACGGAGGGGAAGAAATACTGTGCGGACCCGAGAGCCACAGGTTGACTGAATGTAGATAAAGGGACAAACATAAGTACAACATCACAAAAAGAAGGATGTGTGCAAAAGTGAAATAAAGTGAACAGAAACAGAGGAGAGCACTTTAATGGAAAGAAATCTACTGACAAACAGCCACAGTCAGAGGTCATGACTTATTCATCGCAGTCTTCAGTGGACTGAAACCATCAGACCGTGCTGTCACAAGACACTGGACACACATTCCCACACTTTAACCCTAACCCACACACACACACAACCTGAAACCCAAACTCCACATCCTCAACTTAAATCACTTTACTAAGGACTTATCTAGTCGGCTATCTCTGATATCACACCAGAACAGCGTACCACACAACTGGGATCCATTTTAACAACATAATGAAGAGTTTACAGTGAAAACCAGATGATTTAGAGTAATGACATATTTGACATTTCTCCTGTGAACGGTCTCTGTGACAGTTCTCATGTCAAGCTGACTCGTGGAAGAAAATCACATCAATTTACTGTAATTTTGCTTTTCACATCATTTTGTAGGGCTGGGCGATATGGCCTCAAATCAATATCATAATATACAAAGCAGACATGAGACCATAGCCTACCTACCTACTTATTTTTTTGACACCAAATATATTGACATGGGCAAAATGACATCAGTTATTGTAAATTTTGGTATCGGTAAATTTTCGGGTTATCGCCCAGCCCTATCATCTTCTGTAAAAAAGCATTTCTACATCACAGAATCAAGGGGTGGCTTTGTTTTTAGAGGACTATTGGGATAAAAATAAGCAGATGGACAGTACAGAGTAAAATCTGTATTCTGTCTGAAATGTTAAATACAACAGAGAGAAATGATGTGGCTGAAAAATACTAATAAATTGGAGGTGGAGGAAAAGGGCGAAGGAGGAATTAGCTCTTGCACCCTTGAGAACATAACCTTTGATAATGATTGATTGACTTGTCAGATGCAGATTCTCCCCACATACTTTCAATAAAATAATGTTTGCCCTATTTTGAATTTTAAACAGTTTATTTGAGTTATTTACATGAAAATCAGGGAGAAAAAAAAAGGCACATCTGAAGCAAACAAAGGATTGCGTGTGTCCTTTCTCTTCACTATTTTAATTTAATCATGTAACCCAAAAATAACATGTGAGAATGTGTTCACCCCGGGGTGTTGCTGCTGTCCCCATTCCTCAGAGACACAGGGGTCCGGGAAGATGGGGTCACAGTGCAGAGCTGCTGCATGGGAAACAGACACTTCGTGACAATTCAACTTAGATGAGACTGGAAGTGACATTTTATGAATGCAGCAGCAAAAAAATATCTACTCCTGCCACTTGAGACTGAAAAGAGACGGTTTTGTACCCCATAAGCAATATTTGTCTAAAACAAACCAGTCCATGCCCACTATTCCCCTGGGTGACTAATAACAGAATCAAAACACAAGAAAAAATAAAGAAGGAAAGAAAGGAAAAAAGGGTTAGGGTCTAAATTAGCTCCAATTGCCTTCATTTACAGATTTTAAATGATTATAAAGCCATCAAAATCTGTTTTATCGAGATTTTTACCCAGATTTCCTTCATTTTTGGAGCTGAGGATGTAAAGGAGGATTTAGGAAGTGAAAGGAGCTGATAAGGAGAGATGTACATGCCTGTACCGTTGTACATATGTGTTTAACAGGGGACACGGAGGTTTTGAATAATTTAGGGAGTCTTTACCTGAAAACCCAATCCCTTCTTCGACGCCTCTTACAGAACATGAAACCAGAGCTCACCTCTAATTGCTGATCTTTGCTTTTCTCTGCAGATTTTGCTTACAAAGGCCTTTGTGGAAACTTAGCTGGAGTTACACTGCCTACTCAGGTGACAGGGAGATGGATGGATCACAGACTTACACACACGCACTCACGCTTAATTGAGGCAAAGCAAGCTCGCACACACAGGGCTTGGAATAGCCAGAAAAGGTCGACATACACATTCTTTCAAAATGTAAGGAAACCTCATTTACGGTCGACAGGAATTGATACAGCAACTTCCGATACGCTGCGGTAATGTATCTACAGGGGACAACACTGGAACACAGTTTTAAAATGCCACCTCAGCTCAGTGCTACGACAGAGGATTAGGGCTACATGAAGAAAAACAATGTAATTACAGGAAGGAGATTAAAGTAGAAATTTCGAAGTTAAAGTTGAAACTTCAAGATTAAAAATTGAAATTTCGAGATTAAAAACTGTCAAAACATCGTGAAATTTTGAGATTAAAAATGTTGAAATGTCATAAATAATGTCAAAATTAGGAGATTAAAAAATGTCAAAACATCGTGAATAATGTCGAAATTTTGAGATTAGAAATGTTGAAAATGTCGTGAATAAAGTCGAAATTTTGAGATTAAAGTCGACATGAATAAACTCGAAATTTTGACTTTAATCTTGAAATGTGAATTGAATATATTTCCCTCCTGTTATCATTTATTTTCTCATTTTGTGGCCCTGAACCTTTCATACAAAGCCTACTATCTGAAAAAAGAAGAGCAAAACAAGAATAAGCAAAAGTAGTTTTCATTTTTAGAATTTAATATTATAGCCATAGCTGAAACAAAAGCTCAGAATAACCACAAATCCCTGTTTTAAAATAAAAGTCAATTTAGATTTTCATTTGGAAATCAAAATCCAGCATGAGATGATTTGGGGCACCATGTCATCCGCGGCTATAGATCTACATTTATCAAGTTCAGAGTCCAAAGACAACCAGGAGATCTTAGAGCACTCCATGCTTCTATCTGCTAAGAAAACTTATGGAGATACAGATTTCCTTTTCCTTTGTGAGCACTAATCATCAGGATTCCGACACAAACGTCTTAAAGTGCTTCACTTTTTATGTGATGAATCTCGACTAGATGGAAATTGAATGGACTTTTTTGGGACATTGTGATTTTCCAAGCTTGGATCAGATTTCATATCAGTATAGGGTAAAATTAAGCATCTGTGTCTGTATTCACTCCAACCTTTTGGACTGTGGGTCACTAATGACTTCGAACTGCTCTCTTTGCTCTTACTTACATCAAGTCCTGAAAGAAAGACCAGCGTTCAATCTGCAGACAGGTCTCTAATTAAAGCCGCAATCACGTCCTTTGTGAGTGAAAAAAAGGCTGGCTTCCAATTATCGGCATATTTTTAACATGGAGAATAACTTACAGTCACCATGATCACACACCAGTCAGTGATGCTGTATTAAAGTACAGTGTAAGGCAGACTTGTGCTTCTCTGCTCTTTAAAAATATGCTGTAAGTGTATGTTTCTTGCATAAAACTACTTCTAATTTGATTGTTTTCAATTGGTATTCTGGGATTTTGGTAGGGGAATATATATAGTTGCTGGAAATATACCTTGGCGGTCTGCCCAAGTATTGTCAGTGTGTGTAAAATACTGCAGTATGCACAAACTCTGGTAATTGGATCTCTTTCACTCCCAACATTCGATATGAAAAAGTGCTTTCGAGAATTGCAAAATGTTGGAAAAACATAGTTTGGCAATATTCAAGTGTGTGTGTTACTACACTCCTACACGTCATCCCTAGAGAGCCCTGAAGGTGTCCGGACAATCCCAGCTTTCATCAATCACAGAGCGACCAAATTAAACACAGGGAAACAGTAGAATTGTGAAAGCTCTTATTTACGACTAGCCAACAATAATGAATCATTTTCAAACCCTGCTGTTTGGCTGGATGTGAATCGACGGTCAAAGAGCGGTTTGAAATATTCTGTCCACTTTTCATTTTCCCTTGAATCCCCTTTTTTATGTTTCTGTCTCTCTGTCCCCACAAAAATGCAGAGTCTCTATTTTTTCCCCCTTTTCTGTCTCTGGCTTTTGTTCTCCCTGTCATGTATCTTCAAACTCGCGGTGCAGATAAGATTTCCACATTCTGTAAAAAGACAGAAATGAGCAGGAGACGCTGGGCTTGATGACATAGAGTGAGTGTGTGAGCGAGCGTGTGACAGACAGAGAAGGAAATGAGACGTGAAAAAGTCCCAAGAGACTGAGGGGGGTAGGAGGTAATTCCACACCGGTGTGTGTTCAGTGTGCTCAATATTTGACAGGTAGGAAACTTCACTGGAAACACTGCTGAGCAAACAGATTGGACTGAGGGATTACGAATGTGAGATACAGTGAAGACTGCAGTACCATTTTAAAGGAACACGCTCAGACAGAAAGACACTAGACTTGCTAAAAAACCGCAGTCACCCACTTCATCACACACAATACTCTCCACTCAAACAAACCCAGCATTTTCTTTAAGGTACAACAGCTCAGAATGAGAAAGCAGTGGTTGCTGCATTGTACAACTGCAGGCAAAGACTCACTTTTCGAATCAAGAGAGCAGAGAATAAAATATTTAATTGATTATCTATACTAAGATTTTTTTCTCAATAGGCGTCAGGGCCTCCCCTGAGTGAAGATTTACAGTTTTTCACGATCAAGCCCAGCAGCATGTCCTTACGCAGCTCGGGAACATGTTGCACAATTCGCGGCTGTACGAACAACCAGACGAAGCTCGATATGAGGCTACGAGAGCAATGTCTTGAACACGTGCCTCTAACTAAGAGCTAGTGTTCGTGTGACAGTCGGTAACAATTCCATTGCCTACCGATCAAAGAGAAACCCAGAAGGATGTGGCTGAAAAACCTGAATTTAAAAAGACCACCAAAAACATTCTACATGTGCTCTTTTCACTTCGTGGACAAAAAGCCCATGGAAGCACACCCATACCCTACTCTGTGGTAAGATTTAATGTGTATGGAGAACACAGCACTGTAATAAAAAGGCAATAACATGTATTACCCTTTTCCATTATTATGTACCAGGATTTCCCTTGGTTTCTGGAGTGCGTAAGTGATGTGGTTTTAGGTGGGAAGTGGTGGGGTTCATGGAAGTTGAATGGGGTGGAATCGATGTGAATAAAAAATCCTAATGCATCCTAATCCATGCCGGAAGTCGCGCCCATAATTCATGCAAGAGTTCATGGGAATAAGGTGGATATTCTTATATTGTTTAGGCTCAGAGGCTCACTAAAATAGTTCTGTAACACCATAATTTCCCTGTTTGGAATCAATTAAGTAATTCTGATTCTGAAGTATGGATTTTATACACAAGACCCAGAAACTTACCAAAATAAGACAAAAAATTGTGGTCTTTTGGACAAACTTCATTATCCAACATTAAACCGGCTTAAATCAGAGATTATTTTCCTCTGTCTGCCCTCAGCTCCTCATCACGATTTCAAGCCAGGCTACATTAACTGTTTCTAAACTGCTGTCTTTCCTGTGGCTTTAATATTAAGTCAATAAAATCCCTACCCTGACTAAATCTCTTACACTACGCCTTATTCAGATATTTACCCGAGTTTTAATTATGATACAGTCAAAGAAAGTGGGCACACTGACAGAAGCTAAAATGAACATTTTTGTGTATTTCATTCTTAAATCAAGAATTCACAAATAAATTAGATCACTTTTTTTCTCTCTTACCAGGAGACACTGCCAGTTGAAAATGATGCAGCTTATCCTCATCTGGGAAATTGGCTTTGCATGTACCTGGTGAAGGAGAAATTAGGGGAACAGTTATTGGTCATTCTTGAAAAAAGATGATGTCTAAGTCAGAAACATAAAACTTTACTGTATGCCAAGTAACTGTGTAAAAAACAAATGTACATATGTCTTTTATTCAGTTTTCTGTTCCTCAGTCATAGTTTGTTTATGCTTTCAACCCCTGCCTTAGGACTCCCTGTGGCATCACATTTCCCCCTAGTGTTTAGGGACATGTACTGCACTCAAAAATACTGTACACACCTGAGTGCGTTTTTTTCTTCTTCCAATTAAAACTCAACTTCACATCAGCGCTTTTTTTTTTGGTGGGGAAAGAAATTAGACTCTTCTGTTAACCAATCTTTTTGTCATTTCTGTGATGACACTGAATCAAATGCAGCAGTTCGACTACTTTGAAACCTGGTAGAGCAGAAAATCTGCAGGGACAACAGCAGCAGACAATTAACGGTTGATCAGTTTACACAAAGCTAATTTGTGTTTTTTGAAACTGTCTCCGGCAAACACACTGATGATTGATGCCAGCAAGCTTTACTAATGAAACACGCAGAGCTGGAAGATTTTGAAGCATCGAGTTGGAGGTGGTGATTTTTGCATTTCTGTTTGTCACAAAGACAATTTGTGAGGGCTCTGGACTGACTTGTAAACGCCAACCCTGCTTAAACAGTCCCTCCAGTGGGCTCGTTTGTCCTTCATGGTGCTTTGACAACGCCAGCGGTCGTTTGGATCACATACAATCAGCCGCCCTACTCCTCTATGATGAGTTCCAGCCTAATCTCAGTGGTTGGGACTAGACTCAAACAGTATAGTGTTGGCGGAGATTAAATAAACTGGATGGTTTTCACAGAGTTGTTTTCGACATGTTTGAAGCTCAGCGGTTTGTTAGAGACCCTGGTGCCACTAAGAAATGTTAATGAAAAGACAAAAGGAAAGGAGTGCTGCCTGGACTAAAAGAAGTTTGTCTGAGGTGTTCTTTGGAAAAGGATTCACAAAGTCATTGAAGCAAAAACAGAGAAAAAACTCTCAAGGCACTCTCTTGATAATGTAAAATGCCTTTTTTTAAACAACATGAGCAAACTTCGACGTGTTTCGACATCAAGCTTTCATCAGGAAGTAAAGGCTTGATGCTGAAACTCGTTGAAGTTTACTCATGCTGTTTAAAAAAAGGCATTTTATATTATCAAGAGATTTTTTTTCTCTTTTTGCTTCAAGAAATGTTATTTTTTGACGCTTTCAGGATAAAGTTTGTGTTTCATCTTTTCTTATAACATTGCCGTCAGTCTGTCCCCGGGCAGCTGTGACTACCAAGGTAGTTTACCACCACCAGGGTGTGACTGTGTGAGCGAATGAATGATGTATCCAATGTAAAGTGCTATAAAAAATCGGATGCATTATTATTACCATACTATAAGGTACTACAAGGCACACGTAAAATCCTTTTGGCTTGTCGGAGCACTGCAGCTACCGTAGCCATGCAGAGTTATTGAATGAGTTAAATTAAGTTCATAGTGCAAAAAATACGGTACTATCAAATTAATGTATTCAGACTCAAAGTCTCTCTTTTTTGAAAGTGTTTGTATATTTACAGACTTGTCATTTGCCCGAGGTTTGAGATTTGGTTCAGAATATTTAAGACACAAATATCTCCCAACAGACCAGTTGGCGTCCTCACCAATTAACACTGTGTTAAAACAGTGTTCATTTGTTTTTCTGGCTTTTATGGTTCTCAGTCGTGAAAACAAACTTCAAAATATAAAGTTCAGCTTGAGCAATCTTTTAAAAAATCTACTTATAATAATCTCATACTAACAACATCAGGTAACCACCTGATGAAGATTTAATATACTATTGTGGACATTCAGAAATTAAAGCCAGAACTAGAGTAGACGCTGAGCTGACAGTGTGTTTGAACGAATAAATCTCTGGGCAAGATGTCAAACAAGTGTGACACTAATCCCGGGCTCACATTGCATTTGTTTATACTCTGGATTACGGATCATTTGCAGCTTAACAAAGAGGTATTTAAATGCCGGCGCAATCACAAACATTACAGAGCTCATATTAAATAGATTTAACAGCATAGCAGACTCCTACACTGGGAGGAAAGTAATCGGACTCCGGCTGCAGTTCAGTTTCATGTTGCAGATAACACTTGTTACTCTTACAGACTTTGCTCTAACACCTCTTTTGTTTTTCAAAGATAGAAACATTGACATTCAATCTGCAAAGTAGGCAAACACATAAAGCATTTTTACGTTTATATTACGTATATATTTAGTCATTTATTCAGCTGATGCACTTAAAACTGTTTTGACAGTAGGGCCTCAAATCAATATCACGATATATTGATCAGTTCACCTCGATAATGATAAATGGACAATAACTACTCCACAAGCTGCTCACCCCCTCCCACATTAACTTCGTCTACTTCAGCCGCTACAATTTTTGAACTGTCCTCCATCTCCTCACCTGTCTTCCCCTCTTTGTTACAGACTGGATGAGACAGAGTCATGTCTCCAATGTAGGACAGTGTCTTAAAAGGGACATGAGACCATAGCCTACCTACACACATCCTAAACCAACTTTTATTTATTTCTTTTTTTGACACAGGCAAAATGACGTTGGTCATTGTCGTGAATTTCGGTATCGGTAAATTTCCGGTTTATCGCCCAGCCCTAATTAAAGGCACAAAGAAGTGGAGTTGTACTTAAAAAACATGGTGCGGAATGGAGAGGGTAATGAATTCTGATAGCCTGGCGACACTAACTAAAAGAGATCAGTGTGTGAGGGAGTGTGAAGCGTACTTACTAGGGAGGTTGGCTTCAAGTTCTGCAACTTCTGTTGAGAGGAAGAAGAAAAATAATTATTAAAGACGCAAAGACAAAGGGAAAGACAGAGTCACAGATACAGACACCCAGAAATACTCAGGATCCATGAACACAGACAGCTGACTCTGCCACATTCATTACATGAGGCGCCGAAACACCACCTGATCAATTAGAGATGATTGCCTCTGCATGGAAACATAATTTCTAAAATGCAAGTTGTAAAATAAATTGTCTTATGCGATGAAGCAGAAAGATTCTATTAGCGGGTGACAAAATGAGAAGCGAATAAAAGAGAGAGAGAGAAAAGATGAGTAAGAGGATGACAGGAAGAGGAGAGAGTTGTTTAGCTTGCATTGCTCCTGGGTTAAGTGTGTCCAAGTTTTTCAAGCACCTTTTCCTCTGTTTGCTTTTCTCACACTGACACACTGCTCACTGCTTATTTGTGTCAGCTTTATAACACTACATCACAGAAATAGTCGAGGGGAAGGGACGCTCCCTCTAGGCAGTTCACTTTTCTGGTGAGTCATGCAAAGAGTTTTGCATTGTCATGCATACAAGCCTACTCTTTAAAATGTTCAGGGTGTAACTCTTTGTAATTAGAAGAAGGAGTCTGCCTAAAAGCTCTCATGTCAGGTCCTTAAAGGAAGTTTAATAAAAAGTCTGGTCCACATTTGACTTTAACAGTCCTTCATCCTTGAACTACTGGATCCACAAAGTTAATCAGAGTCTGCGTTTTTGGCCGATGGTAGTGATGAGCAAGTATTTTTAATATTAGGTGGCAAAAACAACCTTATAATTTAGGAGGAGGATTTTGTTTTTGTCTTAATAGAGTTTGAGCCCATAAGTCGTGTTGGAACAGGTCTGTAAACCTCAGTTTTGAACATCATGATGATGAATTTAGGACATAGTGTATCAAAGTAAAACACCTGAGTGCCTGGAGGAAAGGGAGGGAGGGGGCGCAGTAAACTGACAGGTGCTTACATGATTTTCTGAATCAGCCTCGACATGGACATATAAATGTATAAAGTCAAAAAGGTCTTAAATCAAACATTAGAAGTGTTAAATTATTTTGTAGAAGTTCTTTAGTTGCACAGACTTCTTTAGAAGACTTTTGTTGAATAATTTGCATAATTTAATCTGAGAGGATTAAATGAGGCCGTTAATCCCTTAATGTAACTTTAACTGTATAATAATCATTTAACGTGACACTGCATTTTATGTGGTGGATATGGTGAAGGCTTTTTCTATTCCTGCATATGTAATCAGGCAATTAAATCTAAATAATGCAGGATCACGTGGATAAGATACCTTCATCAACAGCTGTGTAATGCTTATAATCCAGCTTTCTATGATAACGTCACAGTCAGGAGGCAGCGACGGACGCTGCAACTGCAGAAATGGCTGCTAAGTAAGGTGGCGACACACACATATTACTCTCTAGATTTAATCACAGTTAGGTTAAAATTTAGTCTTGACAATAATTAAGTAAAAAAGGAAAAATGATGGAAAATAATCGCAGCTTTATGAGGTGAGAATACCACAGATATGAACAACATCTGTGAGAGGAAAGGATCAATTTGGATACAGCTTTTAAATGACCTCGACGACACAAGCCAGTGTTTTATTATTTTAGCTGCTTGTGGGATAAACAAAGTGTAATGAGTTTGCTGAAGAATTTTATAAAAGGACAGAGGAGGCAGGTGTCCGGACGCTGACTCAGAAGGCAATAAAAAATGTCCCGAAACAATTAAAGGACCGAAATGAGTAAATGAAGTTCAGCAGAAACATACATGGGGGATAAGAGAGTGAACAAATAAGCAGGAACTAGCAGTGCTTTGTGAAGAAATACTGTACGGTGGTCCCTGTTACCTTTGGTTAGGAGGCGGTCCCTGATGGAGACCCTGTGGGTGGAGTCAGATGCTCCTGAGGCACGGCCCGTCTTCCCTCCATCGTCCCTCTTCAGCTTACTGGCCAACGTAAGCATGACTCCGCTGCTGTGGTCTGCCTTTATCTGCCCCACGCTGCACTGTGCCGGACTGCACTGCTGCTAAAACGCCTGACAATCAGACAGAAATGTAAAAACTTCTGTCACGGCATGAAGGAAAATACATATACCATCAGACACATCTCTTCATGCAAATCCTAACTTGTAAAATTCTTGCAGCTGTAAATGCGAACGGTCTTCTGTCTGGACGGTTCAGCTTAGTGCGTCGGAACAGTCTGCCCAAACATGGCTGCACAATTTGAACAAATATGGACAATGACAGGCTGGTCAGATAAAGAGAAAACACTACAGAAAAGGATCCTTTAAGGCCATTTTGATTTGAACCAACAGCTCAGTTTAGCTGATAAATAAAAGATATTTGATGGTCTTCTCATATAGCTGATGAAAATTAATCCAGGGCTAACAAATCATTCAGTTTAAGTACAAATACATGTTTATTATCAACTTAATGTTGGTATCATTATGTAAAGAAAGGAGACTACTGCCAACAATAAGGTCTTTTATGAGCCGTAGCAATAAACCAAAGACTGAATCATCACTAAATTATGGTGGAATAATTAACAGACAGCAAACGATCAAGGGAAAGCAACTCAACAACACCGTGTGTGAAGAAATTGGCAGGGAGCTACAAGTGGCTTACTGATCTAAGTGTTAAATGAAAGTCTTCTTGACAGTTTTTAAGTGATTTAAAAGCTAAAAACTTTCATCTTTCAGTCGTAAACATCTATCATTAATTTATTCCATCATCCTTCAAAGAAATTACAGTTAATGAGCTAATTAATCACTTCTGAAAGCTGCCAGAACAACATCGTCTCTGCTGTAATTATCATGAATAGTGATTATTTAGTTCTGGGACTGATGTTAACAACAGGGAACTCTGAAGCTCATGACAAAAGAGGATTTTAATTTTGACATCGTGAGTGTAACAAACAGACGTCTCCAACCCTCATAGTGAGCCGTGTTTCTGCTCACCGCTAAATAATGTTGAACAGACTCTGCAAAGTAAGAGGAAGACAAAAGAGCACACCAACATCCTGCTCCTGCCAATTTTCTTACTAATGATGCTGCAGCAGGAAGCACTTGACTATGATATAACAGCGTTACACTCGGAGATAAAAGCATTCACTCTTCGTAAACACATCAGCAGGTAATAATCTATGCCATGCAACAGCACGCCGCTTGAGGGGGTTCCTGCCTTTGCTGTTGTTTATTTGCTTCTTCAGGTCGCCTTGTTTGTGGGGCCATTTTTAGTGTTGGCATTTTGCAGCTGACTCTACAGGCATTTGTGTAAAAGAAGAAGAAAAGAAAACATCTGCTGGGATAGAGTTCAGTGTTACGACAGAGGAAAGAGTTTGCTGTCAACTATGACATGATAATAGGGCTCGACCAATGTGGATTTTTTGGGGCTGATGCCGATACTGATTATTAGGGGGGAAAAAATCCAATTAACGATTAATCAGACGATTTTTAAATTTTTTAGGAAGTTCTAAAAAATACATTTATACTGTCGATATAGTATACTATATACTGTAGTAAGACTGTAGGCTACTGCTTTTCACGTCGACAGGAAGACTGACTGATCAAACTCGGAATTAGATGTATTAGATGCAAAGGGGGAAAATTTTCGGAAAATTTCTGGTACATTTCCAGAAACTTTCCATGGGAAGTTAAGCTGGGGAATTTTGGAAATATTCCAAATTGGAAACTTTCCTTTGGAAATCTGGGAATTTATGGGAATTAACTTGAAATTGGGAGTAATTTGAACAAACTGTATAATATCCAAACATAAAGGTAAATATTTTTGTTTTGTCATAAGCAGTCATCCATGCAAAATAGTACAATTAAAAAACATGACACACATCAGATGGCGAACCTGGCATTTTTCCGAAGAATAAAATAACATAAAAAGCTTGTAAAAACCCTAGTGCAATGGCATGAACAGAATCACGTTTGAGGTAGCTACAACCACCATTACAGGCTAGCCCCTTAAATGGTCAATGAAATGAAAAATAGCTTTCATTTAGCACCTATTTTTATTTGATGTTTGCAAGTTAAACATTAGTCTTATAGATCAATTATATTTACCCTGAAAATTCACAGAATTTTGCAACCCTAGTAGTAGCTTATAGACTTTATATGACAAAGTTTTTGCATGTGTTCGTGATGCACATTCGTTGACCAGATGTGGAAATCTTCTTGTAATAAATTCCTGGTCGGCTGTAGCTGCAGAGTGTAATGCTGATGCCGTGCACTGCCCTGGCATTTTCAATCAGACACGTCAGGAAGTTCAAGTAAATTATAGACTTTACTTGTGTGTCTGACCTCAGGGGGTAATTCACAAATTACCAGAGGACCACAGGTCATACTAAGCCTGTGTGAACGGTGATCAGCTCCCTGGCATCACTGCACTGTCCAGCCTGAGCTCTAGGGAAACTTATTTGGGGGGTAGAATTAGCAGTGAGGCAGTGAGGGGTGTCAGGTATCAGTGATCCCTTTAAATGTGTGTCACTGAGGTTGACTCTCACCCACCTGCCTCGGCTGTCAGTCACTGCACCCTGCTGTTGCTCGCTCACACTGACTACCTGGATGTTAGTCAAACAGTAGTAAATGTTAAACAAAGTTAAGGACTACTTTGATAATAAAGCATTGTACCTCTTGTATAATTCGATAATTGTTCCATATCTGACAAATTTTCATTTTGTTATTGTCTTTTTGAATATTCTCACTGGTTATGTTTGTTTACAGTTTACTTTTGGTGTTGCACGCACGTTGTAGAGTCTTACCACTGAGACTATACACCTGAGTTCCAATGGGTGAAGAGCTAGAACTCGTTCTGACGCGTGATGTGACAATAAAAACCAAGATTCCAATATTCTTTCTTTGAGTACGGTGACCAATTTATTTTCATTCAACACAAAGAGAAAGTTCACCTGCTGCCACGCAAACACAGTCAAAAATCTGTATAGCTCCGCCCTCCACACCTGGCTCACTACCTGGGCTTACTTAAAGGCCCTTTTATGGTGCAAAGAACCAAGGAATAGAAACAAGAAATGAAACAAGCAAAAGAAACTAAATAATGGCTAGAAAAGGGATCAAATTAAAAGAATGCATGAAATTTCATGTTCAAAAAGAAAGTGTCAAAGACAGTATGTTGAGTAAATAAGTCTTCGTATGTTTGTTTTGTGCAAAAGTGGAAATTAACGTGGTCTTTTCTGTTCGTTTTGTAGGTTGTTTCTGAAAATAATAAATAATGAACTGTAAAAAGGCGTGTTTGCCTGCAGCTGTTGTTTATTTTTATTATGTTTTCAGTTGATTAATATATTTTGAAAGAGTTTTCTTCTTTCTGCTCCTTTTCAGTCACGTGTTTGAGATTTTCCCTTGTTTGTATTGGATGTTTTGAATATTAACTGAATGTAATAAAGTGTAAAAATGAAAAACCTAAAAGATTAATGACAGTTACAGTCTTTTGTTTTGATTTCCCCCCTTCTTTAAGGAACAGTGAGGTAAACTTGATGAGCCTGGGTAATTGAGGTTCACACTCAATACAGACAGGAGGTTTAACCGCAAAATAATCCAAAGAGTGTGAAAAAGACTGAAAACTACAACAAATGTGTTCGGATTTGTCAGTTGAGTTCCTGCCTCGTCATTGTAGTTTCTTTAACTCGCCGTATTTTGAACCGCTCTTAACGGCTAACGGAAACACTCATCAAGCTTGATTTCAACTCAGTTCTTATCACATCTACCTATGATTTCAGATAGCTGGTGAAATCGCTGGAAACTGCGCGCTGAAGTTGTTAGGAAAGTCTCCACGCTCGCCTGTATTAGCTTGTGTTTTTACCTGCTGTCTCCGAGCTAGCGCTCCGTGCTACACCATACTCAGCCGTCCTCCTTCCTGTTTGAGCCGAGGGCAACAGCAGCTCCCACCGGAGCTTCTCTGAGGAGGCAGGTCCGACCGGAAAGAACTTCTTTAGGGTTTTATTTGGGTCTCGGAGTGGATATGAACTGATTGGAGAATCAGCTGTCAGAACTTCGTTCCGGTGTCATGGGCAACGGAAACGCAGCGAATACCGGTCGGTTTTTGATGTCCGTGTGGACATTGTAGCAGATAAAGAGTTCCACTAAATTTAAGTTCCTGGGTTAATCTTCGTTCTTGCTGTTTGGAAACCCACACATTAAAAAACACTAGTTCCATTACAATAACAGACTACATACGCCTTTAACCCTCGAACACTATCGCTAAAATTAGTAGCATCATCACGATCACCGGGTGATTTCTACTCGAAATAATATACAAGAAAAAGTATTTGTCATTAAAATAAATAAATATAGGACAATACATGACAAATTAAAGTAGTTTTCTTATATTTTTAACTGTGCAATGTCCAAAGGGAGGGAAAAAAGTGCCATGAGGGGACCATATAAAAATGCAACAAATAAAAAATAATAAAAAAATAAATAATCTAAAAAAAAACCTAGCCATCTAATAGTCGTCTATTGCTCAGTGGGTATGTGTGTACATATATATATATATATATATATATACACTCACCGGCCACTTTATTAGGTACACCATGCTAGTAACGGGTTGGACCCCCTTTACCCCTTTTCACTAAGTTGCCGCCATGTGATTGGCTGATTAGAAATTAAGTGTTAACGAGCAGTTGGACAGGTGTACCTAATAAAGTGGCCGGTGAGTGTATATATACACTCACCGGCCACCAATCACATGGCAGCAACTTAGTGCATTTAGGCATGTAGACATGGTCAAGACAATCTCCTGCAGTTCAAACCGAGCATCAGTATGGGGAAGAAAGGTGATTTGAGTGACTTTGAACGTGGCATGGTTGTTGGTGCCAGAAGGGCTGGTCTGAGTATTTCAGAAACTGCTGATCTACTGGGATTTTCACGCACAACCATCTCTAGGGTTTACAGAGAATGGTCCGAAAAAGAAAAAATATCCAGTGAGCGGCAGTTCTGTGGGCGGAAATGCCTTGTTGATGCCAGAGGTCAGAGGAGAATGGCCAGACTGGTTCGAGCTGATAGAAAGGCAACAGTGACTCAAATAACCACCCGTTACAACCAAGGTAGGCAGAAGAGCATCTCTGAACGCACAGTACGTCGAACTTTGAGGCAGATGGGCTACAGCAGCAGAAGACCACGCCGGGTGCCACTCCTTTCAGCTAAGAACAGGAAACTGAGGCTACAATTTGCACAAGCTCATCGAAATTGGACAATAGAAGATTGGAAAAACGTTGCCTGGTCTGATGAGTCTCGATTTCTGCTGCGACATTCGGATGGTAGGGTCAGAATTTGGCGTCAACAACATGAAAGCATGGATCCATCCTGCCTTGTATCAACGGTTCAGGCTGGTGGTGGTGGTGTCATGGTGTGGGGAATATTTTCTTGGCACTCTTTGGGCCCCTTGGTACCAATTGAGCATCGTTGCAACGCCACAGCCTACCTGAGTATTGTTGCTGACCATGTCCATCCCTTTATGACCACAGTGTACCCAACTTCTGATGGCTACTTTCAGCAGGATAATGCGCCATGTCATAAAGCTGGAATCATCTCAGACTGGTTTCTTGAACATGACAATGAGTTCACTGTACTCAAATGGCCTCCACAGTCACCAGATCGCAATCCAATAGAGCATCTTTGGGATGTGGTGGAACGGGAGATTCGCATCATGGATGTGCAGCCGACTAATATGCGGCAACTGGGTGATGCCATCATGTCAATATGGACCAAGCTCTCTGAGGAATGCTTCCAGCACCTTGTTGAATCTATGCCACGAAGAATTGAGGCAGTTCTGAAGGCAAAAGGGGGTCCAACCCATTACTAGCATGGTGTACCTAATAAAGTGGCCGGTGAGTGTATATATATATATATATATATATATATATATATATATATATATATATATATATAGATAGATAGATAGATAGATAGATAGATAGATAGATAGATAGATAGATAGATAAGTAGTGTTTTGTTTGGGGGATGCGCAGGGAGTTCTTTGGGGTTCCACCAAACAAAATCTTGCTTAGGCCACCAAAATCCACCAGCTGGCCCTGAACATACATAGTAAAGGCTAGATGAATTGAGGCAGAGTCAACGGCGTCCACACACGGCGGCCATCTTACTTCAGTATACCAATCTGGTACATTTTATAGTAAGCTGACGGAAGGTGAGTTATTTGCATGATCAAAAATACTCTTAACTCGCTGAAATCTTGACAGATTTACAAACGGTTTTGTTTATTACATACCCTAATAATGTGGCTATGAGTCGGGATGCTTGGACATATTGAATGGCAGATTTTCTTTGAGAAAAAAAAGACACGAAGCACAGTTGTTTCACAGATATTTGCGCGCAAGGGCTAACTCTTGAGTCACTTCGCGCGAGTTGTCAAGGCAGACCCAATTGAGATTTTAATTTCTTGTATAACAGTCTTTATTTTTTGTCTAAGTGACAGCCTTTGTGGATGTGCTTGTGTTTATCAGCTGTCTAACTTGGCTGAAAGACTTGCTGTGAGTGAGGCCAAGTACGTATTACAAAATTAACCCAGCAATTTTACATCAGTTGAAGAGGCAGAAATGCTCTTTCATTTCAACATAACTTAAGTTGTCCATGATTTTCAAGCCATTTGGTTTGTTAAAAACATCCAAAATTGCAACATCAGGCAGATATATCGAAAATAAAGATATGTATGTTGTTATTAAATGTTATAGTTATCCGTACAATAGAAATATTAATAACACAACATACATGGAATGTTTAAATGTTTTATGTATAAATAATTTAATATAACTGCCGTTTGTGTAGGCCTATAGCTATTTCTCTACCTATCTGCTTAATGTTTATTTATAAGTTTATTTATGAAAATCTATGGTTAAAATTATTCTTGAGTATACAGGAACAAAACTAAAACTCTGAGGTTTGTTACAAACCAAACCGTTCGAAAATCGGTTTAAAATTAAGCACTCTATGGTTACTTAAATGCTACTTGCACCATGGACTGTAATGTAATAAGTGGGCGAGCTGCCTGTAGCAAGATGGCCGCCATGCGCGAACGGCGGTCTCCATTGGCTAACAGCGTGCGTAAGCCATCTAGAGTTTATATATATATCTATGAGTCCGCCGACCGGAAGAAATAGCCGCCGAACACCAACGAGGGAGACAACGCTAAACACCAACGAAGAAGAAGCCGCCGAACACCAAGAGGACGAAGCATAGACTGTATATGGGACGAAGCATAAGCCACACAGAGAGAGAAGAGAGACAGAAAAGTTTGGCTTACTTTAGCAGCAGTGGCGATTGCTCTAAGACTGCAAGGGAAGCTCGGCTTCCCTTAAAATGTCACCCCCCCAAAAAAAAAGAAAAAGTGGTGAAATACGTACGGCTGTGTGTACATTTCATTAACTAAATACGCACTAGAAAGCCTTCATCTTTTGTTCAGAGACTGTGATAAGAAGCTGATAATCACAGGCAACCGGCATAACTTCGTTCTCATTCATCCTCGCAGCGCCTCAGCGCTTCAAACAGTCGGACGCTGGGCTTCTGCTGACTTCAATGTGGAAGCTTAAAGTGGGTTGTTCCAGCAGCGAAACTAGACGCTCATTGGATAAATGCTGGGCTTTGTCCCGCCCAATGGAAGCTAAGCTTCACTGGAGTTCTATGGCGAGAGGGCGGTCCCGACTTTCTCCCGGACTCCAAGCTTCTGCCTCCATGATTGGATGAGCTGTCTGAGGCGAAATCCTTTTTTGATTGACAGCTAAATAAGCGAATCAGCGATCTTGAAGAATAAAACATCTACCAGAGCATTTTCCAAGTCATTCATTCCGTTGTTCTTAACTGCTCCAGAGACTTTACGGATCCTCAGCGACTTTTGTCTTTGTTAAAAACGACTGCCGTTGTGTTTGGCGACTCTGTTCTGTTACATACTAATAAACAAATACAATTATGATGTAGGCCAGAAAAATGAGCTTCCCCTCCTTGAAAGACCAGCAGCCGCCACTGTTTAGCAGGCAGAATAAACTCTTATCTCAGTGCAACATTGGTAGCACAGTTATATCATGCAAAGGAGGGTGAACGACCAACCTGATTAAACACCTCGGGATTCATGGAGGAGATATACCCAAGTGCCCTGTCTTTGGTGCGCTTTGCTGGTCTTCGACTAACTACCAGAATCAGGTCAGTGTGACAAGAAATTACTCCTGTTCTCTGCTAACTTTGAAGCGGCAAACAAATTGTACCGTGTACGATGGGTCAACTTAAATATCCTATTAACGTTAGCCCTCCTACTTCTTCATTACCAACGACCTGACAACAAAATTGATATTTATATACTGGTTGAAAATAGCCCTGAGAGAAATTCACAGTAAAGTTATTTAAAAGTTGATAGAATTTAAAAATTCATGGGAAGGTTTAGAAATTTCATCCAAAAAGAAGAACTCTGGTTAGCACCCTCATTTAAACCATGCATTTTTTTAAATATTCTGCCTTTAAAAAAAATTGGAATAGAGAATCGTTAGGAACCTGAATCAAAATAAGCGTTTATTTCGGATGTAAATATTTATTTTTTTTCGAACCCGTATCCTGTCAACACAAGCTAACCTGTTCAGATGCAACATACCATATGTATTTTCACTGTCTCAAACTCAGTGGCGTTGCTGTCACAGCACCATTAGGTCTCGGTTGTTACCTTACGTTCATTGATTATAGTTTAATGTGCTTATCTGGTACTGGCCCCGACTCAGTACAAGCTTTCATGACAGACAGCCATCTCAACACTTGTGTCTAATCAGAACTGAAAACAGTCAGTCTGCTGTTGTGTCAGTCTTCTCGCTTCCACCCTGGACGTGTCTTTTCCCCCCCGGAAAGTCACAAAATCGAATCGGGCTTGATGTGTACAGTCAGGCACGTCAAAATTCCCCTCCGAATATTTTGTAATTTCCTGTTGTATATTTGCGTCGGTCCCAGGGTGTAAGGACCTTAATTCTTTAACAGTTTTGTAGCATTGACTGTATGACTGATTCTTAGCTGAAAAGTAAGAAACCAGACATGCACTAAGCTGAGCTGTGTCCTGTGGAGTGGCCAGGGGAGGTAAATTTGATTCTTTCATTGAATAATGTACAAAAGCAGCCAGTTTACTGTACAGAAATTTCAGAAAAAAACTAATACCATGCTAAGAAAGAAGAAAGTAAATTCACTTATTTGCCTGCCTTACTAATACTCCCCTAGATTTCCCCCCTAATGAAAAAAGTCTGACTGAGTCTGAGTGTTTGATGGGACAGCTCATTCTTTTCTCGGGGCAAACCAAAGTCCCCCTGAAGTATTGCGACTAAGCTGTGAATCACTCTGCCACTTCATATAAACCCATTAGAACTCATTCTGCCTGGTCACATGAAGGTTAAAGAAAATATCAGTGTATTAGTCTTGGAACAGCCGACTGTATTGTACTTTATCTACATCTGTTTAGACAGGTGTCAGCCATCAGGGGCCCTGCTGTGAATTTGACTCATAATAATGTGAAGTCCACTCAGTCCAAGCCTGAGGACAATAGAGACTTTGGTATGAATGAATTTCAGAGGTATCACACTTTAAATAAAAACAAATGAAATGACATGTTGCCCAGCTGTTACAGATTGATATTTGAAAATAAACAAGAAAGACAGCCTTTTTTTTAGAGGGAGCGAGGGAAGGGAAATAAAGAACAGAAATCCAGATTGAATAGAGACTTCTAGAGGGAGAGAGGAAATGGTGTGAAACAGATTTCTGCATATAAAAGATCCCACCCTCTCCACAAATGACACATAAAAGAGAAACTCACTCCTGGAGATGAAGGCTTTCACTTTGATTGAAAATATTTCTGTCACTTCTGGGTCTTTCAGCTTCGAGCGGATAGTAGAAAAATTTGTCATGCTTTTCTATCCAAAGGGGGTAATTAAATGACAGCGGATGCACCTGGGGTATTTCAGACTCCTGTTTATCTTTTTGGACAGCTCTTTGACAAATTCAATATTTAAAAGAAAAAAAAAAGAAAAGCTTATTTTAACTTTGATGTCTGCAGCCTAGTGGTGATTATTGTATATATATATATATATATATATATATATATATATATATATATATATATATATATATATATAAGCAATTTTGCATTGCTCTTTCAGCATTCAGCACTCAGCATTTCCACACGTTTTCTGCAAGGAAATGCATTTTTTTCTTGTTAAACTGAGGCCTACTGAGTGATTTGAAACAAAGTTAATGGTCATTATTTATGGAAGCTTAAGAATTGTGATAGATAGATAGACAGACAGACAGACAGACAGACAGACTTTATTGATCCCAAACTGGGAAATTCACAGTTCAGGCCTAGCAACAGTAAACAGTAGCCTACTTCAAGTACTTTGAAATTCAGGTCCTGCTGTAGTTGAAATGTTAGGGCCTGTTTCCTTTAACAGCCTATTTTGAATCAAAAGTGCCATGAACAACCTTTGAAACTTTGTTATAGTTGGGAGTGAAAAGTGCTCTGAAATTAGGATCGTGGGCACTTGAAAAATGCTGCAAGTAGAAACAGGCCCTGACAGTGCTGCTAGCAAATGTGGACATAGGCCTTAACGTAATCAGAGAGATTCATCCTTTGAGAATCACCAATTTCCATAATAGCAGTTCATTCTTAAAATGTTTAAGGTTAGGTTTTGTATCTTAGCTCAAAGTTATCATTGTACCACCAGTTTTTTTTTCCTTACAGAAAACTGACATCTGTCAGTTCACATCAGAAAGTCCCACTGGCTCTGATCTTACTCATGTTAAAACAAAATGTTACACCAGGGGCTCTGCTTCCTCCTGCCCAACCACATAACCAAGATGTGAGTTTAGAGCCTACTCAGTTTAAAGCAAAAACCCTATCTGGAACAACATGACTAATGCACATGTCAGGATGATAAAATCCTCTTTAAAACTGCATGGTTGCTTATTTCTTTGGTGGCGGCAGCCGTAACCATAGGCTGTATAGAAAATTGCAAGAACTGTCGACTTCATTTGAAATAAATAAGGAAAGCGGATATACTTACAGACAGTATGTACAAATAGAAGACACTACATGACCCAAAAAATATGAATAAACTTCTTTTTTTTAATCAGTGTCAACAGAAAACTTTGTGACTAAAACTTTGATCAAACTTGAGTTTACTTCAGCAGTTGCCTATAAGAGTAAAAGTCTTTCAGCTGAGAAAATGGGGTAAACAGCAAAACAAAATAACCAACCAACCACTACTCTGTAGTATTTTGACAGAGCAACTTTCAATTGTAAAGGAGAAATATCTAACCAGGAGCATCTGAACTCTGACACAAGTGATGAAGTTGTGTACTTTATTTACGACAACCCATACAAATGATTATGCAAAATTTTAATTTGATATTAAAAAGTGTTTTTTTTTTTTCATTTTTAAGTGGACCTAGGCTTCGTTATGTTTGACTTATAAAGTATCTGCTTTCTTATGTAACATTATGGAACATCCTAAAATCAGTTTCTTACCTGTCACTCTGGAAGATGTACTAGCCAACTTGTTTCTGTCTCCAATGCCGCCAGCTCATCTTCCAACACGTCTTTTTTTTCCTCAGGAAAAATGAGAAAATTGGTGAATCCATGTAATGGGCTTTTGCAGCCTAAAGTCATATTTTAACCTTAAAATACCCACTGCTAGTATTTGAACCACTTGTGCTGTCGAAAAAAGGACTGAAAATATAATATTTCGACCTGATCATTGTGATACTGTCCGATTTTGAGAAGAATAGTTTTTACACTGACAGTAGGATGTGCAGTATGACTATGAGGCCTTACAGCAGTGGGTCAAAGTGAGAAACTGGAATAGCTAAGGGCTTAAGATAAAAATAGGACACCTATACTCACCCCGTGCTACAGGTGCGGATGTTATGAATACGCCAACTCCAAACACCTGCATTAGTCAGAGGACCAGTCAGTTCCAGAAGCTACCTTTAGCAAGAAAAGGGCCAGAGGCTGCACTCTTTACTGCCAACTCTAATGGTGTTTGAAACACATGTATTCAGTACAGGCTGAGATCAATATAAAGACCAAGGAAGGGCATCTATGATGATTCTGTTGTGGGAAGATGGTTATACAAACATGAGGGGTTTTTCATCACAGGAGCTCTTCCATCAGTGAAAAAAAAAGGGTTGCTGAGAGCATTTCCACACAGATGAAAAAACAGTCCAGGTGCAGCCCAGTGGCCTGAAGGGCCTGTGCTCACTCACCGGTACAGCTGGTGAACCCAAAACAGATTTTTAAAACACTGAAAACTGAAATACAGAGAAATCTCTTTTGTATGGTTTTGTTTCCTTTAATTTATAAATACTTTGCAAGGCGTACATTTTTCTATTAAACAGCTGTATCAAAAAGTGAGTACAGAGTAGCTATTAATGCAGTCACTTTCACTTATATTATGTTTGAATCATCATCTTTGTAAATGGTTTATTGAAAGCACCTCATATTTGGATCCCATCAGTTTCAGCATCAGTAGAGCACATGCATTATAATTAAATGATGATGCATATATGTATGCTGTTTGATGCAGGATAACTGTAAACTGAAGAAAGTGACAGTACTCATGCCTCTGTCAATGCCTCCCTCTAGTGGTACATGGAAAACACTGACAGCTTATAGAAATACTGAAAGTGGCAAAGCCATTCATTTCTATGGATAATTCGAATAAATAACTTCATGTGCCAGATCAGTTACTACAAACTGGATTTGTGTAAACAAACACCACCAGGATGCAAACATAGAGTATATCTGCATAAGAAGAGAAGCAGATCATACTAGATATTAAGGGTATTCATCTTTATTAGTATAGAAATGTGTAACAGTTTATCATTTTTACAACAATATACCACACCAACCAGTATTTGGTCATATAAAAAAAAATTAAATGAAATATTTGAGCTGCTTACCCGCCAAAAATGAAGATAAAGGTGTCATAATGTCTTTACCATATGTGGAATGCGTCATTTTAGCTCAGGGCAGAAGCTGATTATAGATGCAGGACAGAAATACAGGGGAAAAAAAGCACATGCAGCTTTGATCAGTCCTGTTTTGCCCAGAAAAAAAAGTCCCAATTGCACAGACAGTTTTTGCAGGTTAGCTGTCATTTACCCGTAAAGCTAACAGGCGTCTGACTTGAGCAGCTTCAAACTCAATCAGCCAATATTTATTTATATAGCGCAAGACATTCAACATAAAAAAAGATGGTCTAGAGTCTAGATCATAATCTGTTTACAAAGATTCATCGGCAAAACAGCAGTGTTGTTTTCGTTGACAAAAAAAACGCCCCTTATTTTCCACGATGAAGACGTGACGTTGACAAGCTAAATGTGAGTCTTAGATGACTAAAATGTGACGATACGAATGTGCGTTTACGTTGACAAGACGAGACTAGACAAAAACATTAGTGGTGGACGATGAACAGAGTATCAAAATTCATGAGCATTTCGTCAGTCAAACGCTGAACATATATTCTGCAGTGTTGTTTTCATTGACGATGACGTCATTGTCAACGAAAACAACACTGCAAAACAGAGAGTTTAAGTTTCCAAAAGGACATCAATAAACATCCCTAATGCGACACTGTCATCTTATTTTGTACCTTTAAAGAGACATTACTTTTTAACAGATATAGAACAATTTTGGGTAACGAAAGTTTCTGCGTCCATAACTCCATTCATGACTTTGTTGAAAAAATGAGTGATATTTTAAAACATTTGACAAGAAATTGGACCTAAAATTGAGCATACAAATGGAAAAATACTTAAAATACTTTTAAAAAAAAGTAAAACCCCTTAACAGAAGTAGTTTTCAAACACCTGTAAAAGAATATGAAGAAGTAAAATCTTCTCCAGCCTCAGACGTCCTCTGGTTTGCAAGCCAGAAGGTAGAAATATTTCACAGCCACCACCACCTCTGCGTCCTCGGAGGTCACTTTCATTGCAGACATCAACCTGAGGAAAGCAACAAAGGAGATATATGGAAAATGTTCAGTTAGAGTGTAGTTGGTGAAAACAATGCTTACATCTTGTTTGTTAAAAGCACTTTAATGGTTGATTTCCACGTGGACCATTACAAGAATAGATATATAACTTTAGATGCATATCAACTCGCTGGTTTGCACAAGTATTGTGTGTGTTTGCGTGGGAGTTTACTTTTGACGGGTGTCCTGTGAGAGTTTTGCTGCTTTCTGTGGGTCTTCCCTTAGAAAACGCTGATAACTTGAGAAAGACTCCACAAAACCCATGTAACTGGACAGAGGCATGGGCTTTTTCACCCACAGACACTCTTGCCTGTAATATAACATAAAAAACACACACACAGGGTTAGACCACACACACCATGCATTATCTATGCATACGTATTATCACCATACTGAATTACCTTTTAAACGTAATTTTATAAGTGAATGCTTTAAGTTTGTTTGCAGCATAAAATCACAGGCTGTCACTTACCACTCCTTGTCAGGGTAGGGGATGGAGTTGTAGGACTCTCTGTATAACTCTATGGAGTTGGCTCCAAGGTGGGGACTGCGGTAAGGTTCCAGAGCTTCATAAAACTGGATTAAACAAAAAAAAAAAAAAAAAAAAGAAAGAATAAGATGTTTATATCTGGTGTTTAACAGCATGGCACCGCTGTGGTCCTCTGTAATGTGTTTGTGACTGCTGTTCTGGGTAGAATTTTTAATGATTAGTTATGTGCTGTTATACTGCTCATTCAGTTAATTTGCCACTTTCATTTTCACACTGTGAAATTGAATAAGAAATATACAACCTAAATGAGTACAACGGAAAAAAACACACAAAAAAGTTAAAAGATGTGGTTTAGTCATGACATACCACTAGAGGGTGCTGTTGTTTGTTTTTCATTTAAAGGCCATTTACTTCAGAAGCCAGACAGTTTATTGCACCTGCAGCTGAGTGTATCACTGCTTATTCTTGATAACCTCAGTCAGGTCAAAGTTCACATCCTCACCTCTTTGCAGGGGTCGTTGAGAGCCTGCGAGCAGCAGTCAGGGTGGCTGAGCTCCATGTCGATGGTGTAGTTTAGAAAGGCCATGCAGCCACGAGGCTTCAGGACTCTGTGGGCTTCTTTGAGAAAGCGTGGTCGGTCAAACCAGTGGAAGGCAGACATGGCAGTCACCAAGTCCACTGAGCTGTCGGCGAAGGGCAGGTCCTCTGCAACACACTCTCTACAGATGGAACAGTAACAAGAGTGAAATCATGAGCCACGCGGCCTCTTTTACTCTTGTTACTGTCCATCTTCCATCCCTCCATGCTTAAAGATAGATCCTTCTCTGCACTATTCTCTGCTTATAGGATTCACTACTTTCTTTCGTTGAATGCAGCAGCAGTGAAATATCCATGAACAAAACAACATATAATGATATAATATTCAATGTGCATTATACTGTTTTTGTTATATCTGCTAATTATTTCATTAACAGTACTTTTTTTCCAACAAAAACATTTTAAAGTGAGTTTCACTACTCCGTTGTTGGCACATTTACTCCACTGACTGTGCTGAACCTCATGACCGACTTTCACCGGACAAAGGTCACATTGTTTCTGCTTTGGCCCTTTTTCAACTAAGTAGCTTATATGACTCTGAGAGCCAAACGAGTGATGTGATTTCACTCGTTTTGCATCATAAAATTTACATATATTCATTCCTACTCGTTTTTAACAATGAAAATATATTTTAATGGGAGACACAATGCGAGGTCAGAATGCATTACTTCAATATCTCCAACATGCATTGTTTAGCTTTGGTGGTCTTGATAGCAGCGTTCAAAGAGAAGCGCTTGGCTGGCTCACCTGTAGGTAACATTGGGCTCCTGGCTGTGCTGCAAAGCTACTTCCAGCTGGGCAGGACTAATGTCAGTCCCCACCACAGAGGCAAAGTGTTTGGCCAGCAGAACTGTTCCCTGTCCTGAGCCACAGCCCACATCCACAGCCAGCTCATAGGGGCCTCTTTTCTGACGACATATTTAACACATAACATTTCTTTACTTTTAGTTTTGCCCACATTTGAGAGTCCATAATCAGTTTCCAAACTGTACTTACATGTTTTTCCAGGAAATCAAGCACCTGTTGTATGAGATGATCTGATGGAGAGATCCTGTACTTCCAGTATGAGGACGCATGCTCTTTGCCTTCAAACAGACGGTAAGCCATGGCCACTCGATTCTGCTTTGACAAACTGACTGAGCGTACAGTAAGTTAAAAAGTATTTTCAGTGAGTAAGAGAAGCTTCCTCCACATCCACTGTGCTCCTTTCTGCCTGCCGTCGGCAAAAACACACACCAGCACACACACAAAGAGGGAAACAGTGGGGTGCCTGGGAAACGGGAGGTCCTACAAACCTCCACTGGAACGTGTCAAGCTTGACAATTAGGGCCTTTTAAAGGGACAAACCTACAACCTTTGTGCATTCGAATAAAACTTGGCTATGAGTTTTGTGCTTTAATTATGAAAAACTAAAATATATCTTAAAAGTCTGTGTAGTTAAATGAAGTCAAAGTATTTACCTGGGTTCAGGAGCAGCACCGCACCTTCACCTCACCTGCAATCACCTGACTATTCTACTTTTACACATCCAACTCCACCCTGTTTGTTTGCAATTCTTTGAGGATGGGCATACCTTATGGCAAGCATCAACGCGCCAAGAAAAACAAAGTCAATTCAGGTTACTTAATTACGTGACTCACTTGTGTAACGTCTCATGTCTGCGTCTTTAAATTCTGTAATCATACGGCACTTTCTAACCCAGGTCTGTGTATGATTCACATTGGAGTTAAGTATGCATGTGGAGTTGTGGTCAGCTCAGTCTGTTTCCTGGTGCAAAGGACAGTAAAGAGACACTTGGACTTTGGTTTTATTGCAGTTACGATACATAATACTCTTATTCAATAGTTACAGCAAAACAAGATCAAAAAACCTTAAACTGTAACTTGATTTCAAAACATCAAATATCTGTGTTTTCCTAGTGATCCATATGACTTTTTTAAGTTTTATTTTTGGGCGTTTTATGCTTTTTTTATGATAGGATTGGGCAGAAGGAAACTGAAAGAGAGTGAGGAATAAAGTGGAAAAAAGGGCTGCAGAGAGGAGTGACCCTGGGCTGCAGGCCTCGAGGGATCTGGTATCATATATTTGTGGCGTGATCTGAGTACTGAGTTTACCTGTAACTTTTATTGAACAAGCAACAACTGAAGGATAAAGGCAACGATAAAGGAACACAACACGTCTTATTTTCACAGTTAATGCTTAATAATTCACTATCATGTAAAATGTAATTAATAAGTTAGGATCTGCTATTTTATTTCATACTGCTTTTGAAGATTTCATTCACAGAATAAATCAGTTGAGTTCAAAAACAGGCTTATTAGTAAGGTGAGTGCCATTGGCTTCCAGGTTATAGTATCTTTGTGATTAAAAAGGGCAAAGAAGAGGTTAAAGGTCCCCCTTACAAAAAGCAGGCCCATGATCATTACTTCAGCCTCATTTAAAAGGCACATAGCAGGTATAACGTGAACCGTCAGCTGAGCAAAAGCTTCATTTGACCCTCTGAGAAAGAGCAGAGAATAACAGAGAGGCACTGAAGCAGTTCAAACGAGTAAATGGGCCACCAGCTGTGCCACACGGAGCTCTCTTCTACAAAACATCAGACTTCACCCTGAAACCAAAGCATCTCAGAGGCACCTCCTTCTGTGAAACACCAGTTGTAGGTCTGTTAAAATTTATTTTCTCGGTTAGATAACCTCTCAGTGAGTGTGCGTTCAAGAATGCAGGGAATCAGCTGTTCTGGTGCACAATGAAACTTTCAGACGAATGAATCAGCGTTGATGTGACTAGAAAAAGTTAGTCAGATGTTATATTGACTGATTTCTTATGGTAGTGACATAGACTGTATAGACTGTATATACTACGGACAATTTGGTTTTGCCTTCCATCTTTAAGGTCCTTACACACCGGGGCTAACGCAAATATAGAACGCGAAATTACAAAATATTGGAAGGCGAATTTTGATGCACCTGACTATACACGTCAAGCCCGATGCGATTTTGCAACTTTCCAGGGGGGGACACATCCAAAGTCCCACCTCCTTCGCCTCTGATTGGCTAGAAAAGCTGAAAACGTCATCACACGCTCAAGCCAAACGGTCAGCACTTATAGTGAGTCGGGGCCAGTACCAGATAAGCACATAAAAACTGTGGCAACAACCATTATCTTACAATAGCACAGATGAAAGTTAAAACAAAGACGTTTATCAAACTGTTAAAGCACACAAACCATCGTCATATGAGAAATCCAACGCTATGACTCTCCACAAGTTGTCCTTCAGGTCGTTAGCTTTGTAATGTTTGTGTCTTTTATCAAAAAGTACTCTTTTCTCCGACACATAAACAATCAGCAGGTCGGCCATGTTGGAAATACTGATGAATCTGACATCGCAACAACACGCAATCTGATTGGTCAGAAGTGGACACACAGTATGCGAAACTAGAAAAATCAACTATGATCCGAAAAAATAAATGCCGTAATATCGCAGGACGGGAAAACGTCGCTGATGTGAACGCTTGTATTGACAGGATACGGGTTCGTGAAAAATATTGACGTCTGAAATAATCGCGCGACAAAAACGGTTCCGGTGTGAAAGGACCTTTATATGTATTTGAAGCCGAATTACTCTAGCTACTTCCGGGATTTTCTCCACTTCCTGGAACCAGCGCTTGCGCAATAGCGTTGTATGCATTTGGCGGGAGAGCCGCTGTGATGACGCTTGGCTCAAACATCGTATCCCCCTGGTGAGCAATGCAATCCTTGTACGACCATAGGCTGTATCAAGTGTCAATCATAGAAAACATAAACCCCCAAATAAGTTGTAAAAATGGAGCTGTACAGAAAAAAAGAGGATTTGAGCACAAACCAGTCTGACAGTAACAACATGTCAACATCGCAACCAAGGGGAGAAAAATTTGTACTTTGTGTAATAAATTTCTAAAGTTTGTCAGCAGCTTCATAGGGATTGCTGGAGAAGGCGGAATTTATGACCTATACTGCAGTCCATCACCAGAGGGTGCTGTTCTCGCGGTGGCTTCACCTAGCGAGGAGGCAGACGGCGTCCGTTCTATGTACAGTCTATGAGTAGTGACAAAAGTCAGAGGGTCAAGGAGTTTCACTCTTACATTGTACAAGACAAAGAAAGACAAACAAATAGTAAACTCCAACTTTTCCAAGACGTAAAAGTCCTTTTATTGTGGTTTTGATGCGAGTACACAGAAATATTCCAGCTCCACCTCTACTTCAGTGTCAGGAGACGTGACTCCCATCTCCTCCAGAAACCTGTAACACAATGTCACGAATTACAACTCAAATAACTAGTTAATTGATAAATGAACATATGAAACATTATGTACTTGGTCTTAATTGGATATCATGTTTATGAGTCTGTGTCTGACCTTTTCTGAGTGTTGAGCAGCAGGTCTTGAGCACAACGTGGATCTTTACTCTTGTAAATTTGGAACATGGAGAAGGACTCGATGAGACCCACCAGGTTCCTCACTGAGACGTGTGTGTTCACTGGAATACACTCAATCCTGTTGATATTGGCATGTTAATGGATATTCAAAACAAAAAAAGAACATTTAGTGGTCTTCAAAATCAAAGAACTCACAATTTCTTGTTTATTTAAGGGGGAAATAAAAAAGTTGGATCCTGACATCTGCTTTGAAATAGAATCAGTTGGCACCAGTAGAGAAGTAAAGACATATCCTGATCTAATAGAGGTATACAAAGTGTGATAGGTGTGAAAGTTACCTTTCTTTGTCTGGAAAAGGGATGGCTGAGTAGAGCTTTTCCAGTTTTCCCTCACATGCAACCACAGGAGCGGTGGTGTGTGGTAAGAGCAGCTGCTTCACCTGAGAATGACAGCGTATAAACGAGAAGGCATAATGGGACGAAATCACATTTTAGAGCGACTGCTTGAGGTTTTCACTGACTCTACATAAAAATGTGGATTCTGTACACAGGGGTTTGGATTGCTAGAAAATATGAAGAATGAATATCAAGGGGGAAAGGTAGAAAAAATATATTTACTTTCTTACATACAACCTGATTTCCATGAAGCTGAAGTTTTTAAGTCCACACCCACCTCCTTATAGATTTTCATGAGCTTCTCTCCACAGTCCTTGTAGTAAAATCTGGTGCCATAGTCATTGTAGCTCAGTAAAGCCAGGCATCCTCTTGGTTTCAGAACCCGACTCGCCTCAGGCAGAAACCTGGACTCATCAAACCAGTGAGCGGCAGACGCTGCAGTCAGCAGGTCAACCGAGCCGTCAGGAAAAGGGAGCTCCTCTGCCGTCCCCTCCCTGCAGGTTTGATGAACAGTTCACAGTAAGAACTCTGAAAATGAATGCTTCATCATTGAGAAGTTTTTAATACAACCTGTATGTGATGTTAGGATAGCCCGGCACACCTCTGGCCTCCTCTAGCTGACACTCACTGATGTCGATGCCAACCACTTCCTGGAAATGTGGCGCGATCAGGCGGGAGTTTTGACCAGTCCCACATCCAAGATCTACTGCAAGACTGTGTGGCTGTCCCTTCTGAAGACGTGAGCAGATATTCTACACTCACAATGTTGAACTGAGCAGATTTTATAATTATCAAGTAGCCTGTACTATTCGGTTTTTATCATGGTTGTTTAATAACAGCAAACCTTTCTGTCCAGGTACTGAAGAATAATGTTCTTGACCTCTTCTGGAGGAGTGAAGCGAAACTGCTGGTAGATGGAAGCATGCTCCTTCCCCTCAAACAGTCGGTATGTCATGTTTTTGCTCTTCTATAACCTCTTCTCCTGAAATCTAAAAACTCTCCCCTGTCCTGTTTTATTGATTTTCTCTCTTAGTTTGAAAGAATGTAAGTTTGTAGCCTCAACACTCACCAGCTCCACACTCGTCCTCTGTCTGAGTCTCCACTCACTTCAGGTATTTTTGTTTTTCGTTTTCTAGTTTCTAGTAAAATCACGCTGAAGCCATAAATCCGACTACGATCATGATATAGAAAAGGAACAAAGATCAAACCACGACTCTGTCTGCTCCTCATGTAGAGTGCAGCTAACTCTGCTGCAGATTTGTTGACAATATGTAACAGAGGCAGGGCCTCTCGCTTAACCCTTTCATGGCCACACACTTCTGCTTAACATTTTTGCAACTGGAAGAGATAACAACTGAGATTTGATTTGATTTCCACTTCCCAATTTCATTATTTGACAGTCTTAACATTGCGTAGACTCCAGTAACTCTACAAGTCGCATATTCTTGCAAAAACAAGAGCATCCCAGTCCATCCCAAGCAGTTTCATCTCACACATCCTATCTTGAAAATCAAGAGTCCTTTTCAAACCAGGAGGCAAGTAGAAGCTGACACATCTAGAAAATGGGTGAGGGACAGAATAAGACGTAATAAGACTTTTAACTTCATAAAGTTTGAACTCGCATATGTCAATAGTTAGGCTGAGAATAACTGGTTTGCGTCACTTGAAACTAAGTGACAATAAAAGAAAAAAAACTAACCCAAATATTAGATTGTACCTAAACGTGACCACTCTTAGACACGGCCTAAAACCAACAAAACTGAAAGTTTCATTTGAACCAGGAAAGAGGACATTATTTCTTACCAAGCTGGATTAAGAAAGTGTTAAAATTTTGGTTGTCTTAAAAACAAAAGATGTTGAAGTTTATTGGAAGTATGATACTATTGACTGGCTAACTAAGGCTGCTGGGAAATGTAGGCCTGTGATGGTTTGAAGGACTCATGACTCGTCCAGGACTCAAACTGCAATGACAAAAATGAACCTTTAACTATCATTCCACATTATTTAGATGAGAAGAGTATTTGTTATCATGCTTTAGTGTTTAAAAGTACAGGTTGTTTTGGCACCAAGTACACAGCGTAAAAGTGCTTAGTCATTCCGGTCTCCTAAGACATGCTCAGGGTCACCGAGTCCGTTTTTGTCTTTGTCAACCTGAAGCTGGCTGTTTGCCAAAACCTGTTGTTTATTCTCTTGACCATTTGCTAAACTGAATAACAGGTTTGTTTTTCAGTTTACCCATGATGCCCCTCCAGGGCGGCAGCACGTTTAATTGCACTCGAGGGATTGTGGAGATAATGACCTGTTGACCATTTCCAACTTCGTTACTCTGCGTTATTATGCTAAAAGAAGCACAGCGTACAGAGTCTCATCCCATGGGTTCTCATTAGTCTTCATATCATACTACACAGCATCAGAGGCGCTGAGCTGAACCCATAACCACCACTTCTTATGTCTTTTCATATACTCGTTTTAACTCTCTAAAAATGATCCTATAAAAGTACGCAGAGTTTAAATGGCTGACTGCACTTTGAAGCTCTGTGTAACGCCGGTTGACAAGGATGAGCCTGCAATCGTAAAAAAATCACTCGCCTCCTGAAAAATCGATTTTTCTAACTTCCACAATTGGGCCCCACAGTAGTTGCAAATTCACCCCGCTCTTACCAAAGCGTTAACACAGTCAAAGCTCATCAGTACAATCCCATTTCCAAAGCTTCATGCCAAAGTGTCCTTGGGAAATATACCGAACCATAACTTCTCGTGGCATATTCAGCTAATGTGGGATAGTGTGTGGATGGAATTAACTAACGCTGATGGGCACTTAGAGGCCTTTCCCGTCAGTGTAGGGGTGAATGTGAAGGGGTGAATGTGATGTGACGTACAATAGCTTTTAGTTTCAAGACTAGAAGAGTGCCATTAAAGTGCTGTCCATTTTCAATACATTTACAGGCCATTTGCAACGTATGCCTCCTAGGAGGGCAAAAGGTAGCTATCAAGTATTGATTGCAACATTAATGGAATTTCACACCTTGCCGCCACCATTCATCCCCTGTCCAGCACAGCAGAAGAGAAGACGGTCTTATTAAGGAGAGTGACAATATCTGTAGGTTATTTCTGTGTTAATGTGAGGATTCTGCAATCTCACAGGGAATGCACGCTTATATTGGGGCTTCATATTGTCCTCCTGATGGCTTTAGTTTTGCAGGTATTACAGCAAAAAAAAAATCCATACTTGTATTGGGCACTCATTTAAGGCCCTGTCTGTAACAGCAAATTTCAGCACCTGGTTCTGTAAGGCCTCCCCAGCTCTCAGGAGGCTTCATCTACTGTTGCCACACAACAGAGTCATCATTCTCTTGTTCTAAATGACAACTCATAAAACATATGATTTGTGTTAGGACTCCAAATCTGACCTGTAAAGTTTAGAAAGGGACAATATTCCCCTAGCAGATTAGGAAAAAACAGGGTGGTGCTGTTTGATCGGTTTATGGGGGTTAGCGCCATTTTGAGGGGTGTCCAAAACCTGAGTGATCTATTCCAATGCCCTATATAGGTGACTCAAAATTTCCCGTAGAGCGCTGCAAAATGTAGTGAACATCCAATGGTCACTCACCGGTTATGGGCATCCCGTCATGCATTGCGTCTCCATCGGCCTCATGACAAGAGCAAGAAAAAACAGAACCCGAGATCTATTTGCCATTTTCAGCGCAAGTTTTTTTTTATCTTCACTTCACTTGCAAGTGATCCGTACAGTTTTTGCATATTCATTTCAGCCATTTACTTTAAAATTTTGGAAATTCACCCATATCTAGTATTGATATCCAATGCTTTGACTTTATTTGATAAACATGAAAAAGGATTATATCACCTCCCTAGGTCAAAGACAGTGCAGAGACTGTTTTTTCAAAGTCCAGTTTCAGTTTGACCAAAACAAATGTTATGTGGAAATGTTAACAGACCCCAGCAGCACGTGTCAGAGCAGTGTTAGTTTCAGCGTTACGATTAAAATCTGACTTTTTATTTCATTTTATTGGTTTGTGAGAAGGTTTAAACAACACTTCTGCAAATGGATGAAATATAATGTGGTTTGGACCTTTAAATTCCTATTCAGTTTTTTTTTGTTTTTGTGTTTTTGCATTGGGCTTTAAACTGTTTATAACCAAAACATTAAACTGCATGTGTTGCAGTGACTGTACAATTCTTATTACACTTAGGAAAGACATTTTACCCAGAAGTAACTGTTTTCATGCACTTCTCAATAATTCAGTATTAGCCCATTTCATTTTCATTTTTCATTTTCATACTTGTTTATTCAGTTAATATTTAAAACATTCAATACAAACAAGGAAAAGTCTCAAACGTGAATGAAAAGGAGCAGAAAGAAGAAAAATCTTATAAAGTCTGCCCCTCTTTCATAAAAGATAAACCAACTAAACACAATAAAGATAAACAAGAGCTGCAGGCCAACATGCCTTTGTACAGTTCAATATTTCTTATTGTTCAAAAACAACCTACAAAACAAGCAGATGAGACCACGTTAGTTCACATTTTTTCCACACAAAAAAAAACAACATACCAAGACTTAGATAAACATAATTTGCAAGCCATCTCCTCTTCATAGTACAAGACAAAGCATGGGGTTGTATAGTCTTAAATGTATACCATTTGCACATCATGTCAACGTGGATGTCACAGTGGATTTCCCACCATTTCCCCATGGATGCATGATGACAAGTTAAAGACACTCAGCTTCTCCTGTGGACCTGCAGAGTGACTGCCACACGGATAGCATGACACCATGTGGGAGCGGTGAAGCTGTTGGATTTTTCACAGCCACTCTGATCTAAAACACTCTACTTAATTTTGATCATTGTTTGGACTTACCACAAATTCATGTTATCTCTCCTGCATCTTTCACCACTCAGGGATTGTCTGTTCTATGTTGTGTTCAATGCTTTTTGGATCTTATGTCAGTGAATTACTTCTGCATCATAATGGTTAATGTGATCACATTGTAAAGTTTTCTGTTATTTGTCAAACTACCTTTGGTTCTGTGTGAGCTTCAAATGGAAAACAACACTAATCCCCCTTATTTTAACCTCACCATGTTTTTAAATATCGGCAACTACCGCTACCCAACATTTGTCTTGTGTTTCCTCATATTTGCTTTCATCTTCTCTGCGAATCTGGTCATCATTGTGGTGATTACGCGAGAGAAGACTTTACATGAGCCCATGTATATGTTCATCATGTGTCTTTCTATTAACTCTCTGTACGGCTCTGCAGGCTTCTTCATCCGGTTTCTGAGAGATATTCTGTCCGATACTCACTTGATCCCACGGACAGCTTGTTTCATTCAGGTCTATGTCATTTACACGTATGCGTCCTATGAGCTCACACTTTTGGGCATTATGGCATATGATCGCTATGTTGCTGTTATTCAACCTTTACATTATCACAGCAAAATAACCTCCAAGGTGATCTGTTCGTTGGTCTCCTTTGCATGGATCTATCCGGCTTTCTCTGTGGGGACCTGCGTCTACCTGTCCTCAAGACTCCCATTGTGTGGAAATAAGATACCAAAGGTGTTCTGCGCAAACTGGCCTGTTGTAAAATTGTCATGTATAGGTACTGCGTTAAATAATCTGGTCGGTATGTTTGTGTCCGTCTCCACCGTCTTCCTGCCCCTGGCTTTTGTCCTGTACACATATGTGAAGATTTTTCTTGTTTGCAGGAAACGCTCCTCAGAGTTCAAGAACAAAGTCATTCAAAGCTGTATGCCACATATTATAACATTTGTGAACTACTCTATCACTGTGTTTTGTGATGTTGCTCTCAGCAGAGTGAATCTAGAAGAGCTGAATCCGTTTCTCGCTGTGATTTTGTCACTGGAGTTTGTCGTGGTTCCTCCTATTCTGAATCCTCTGGTATACGGTCTGAAGTTACCAGAAATAAGAAGAGTAATTTTGAGGACACTATCATGCTCTAAATATGAGGAAAAAGTTAAACCTTTAACAACAGAGTAGCATAATAAATTTGACTTTTTGCTCTCTTTACAGCGATATATACCATAAGAACAGAGCACACACTTAACAAAAGGATTACTTTAAGTCATTTATTTCTCTTTCTCCGTTCATATATAACACATCATTTTCATTTGTTTATGTTTTTGCAGTATGCCGACAATAAAGAGGTCATACTTTGCATTACAGCTTCAATAAATAGGCATTTAATATCTAAATAAAGTATTTAGTCGTCTTTTTCTCTTTCAC